CTTCTTTATGCGTTTCTTCTGTGTACACAATGGCAGGCTGAAGAATGAGCCAGAAGTGCGACACATGGTGAGCATTAGCATGGCTTTCTCAGATAGCGCTTCTGTCCCCCAAAATGATATGATAACAGTGGTTGGGCCCCACAGTTAGTCGCCTGATATGCATATGCGATAAGTGGGGCCGCTTGGGCGTGAGCCGAAAAACGAGAAAATCATTAAGGTGACCGGGGGCAGCTGATGAGGTGTAACCCAATTTCCGGCGCGTTGCCCAAGAGCCCAATGATCCGTGGAAAGCGGACCCAAAAAGGTGTTAAGCCGATTCGAAATCCCAGCTACGTGGATGCACTGGGGGCCAGTAAAAAACAAGAAAAGGGGGTTGCCATGGCAGTTGCAGCCACAGTCGCTGACACAGATGCGCCCATATATGTACATAGAACATATATCGGTAATTCATAGAGTTTAATTGAGTGTAATTAGGCTATGACGACGATGAAGACCAATTTGGTGATATGCATAATTGAAGTGGGTTGCTGCTTGTGGACTGCAGCGGGGTAAGAACCGATTGCAATCCGATTTCCAATTAAGACAAACAAACCATGACAAAATGCTGGCCAAATTGAGCCACAACTAAATGGAGTAATTGTAGTCTAATGTAATTTGATTAGAAATCACGCGGCAATTATCGCTTGAGCGAAACTGGAGAAGTTCCCAGAAGTCGAAGCCCAAAGAACGGAGGTGGAGAATCGCCAAGGGAGCACCTAGTGGTTCGGGGCATTGCTCCACTCCCCAGTACTTTGCACCACACTGGGAATAAAATTAGGACTGCCATTTATAAGAATGAATAATCATAATTATTTTATATAGAAAAAAAACCATCTTGATATCAAGATTTTTACCAATAATTGAGAAACAACAACTATTTAGTTTCTCTAAACCTTGTATTAGTTTCCCTGATTTTTATTAACAGACGAATTAAAATAAAAATTTCATCTCAACATTGTTTTGGTTTTCTCTTGAATTCAAATGGTAACAGTTTTACCAATCAGAAAGACACTTTTTAATATCTTTATAAACTTGTATACTTTTTCCACTTTTTTACTTTCACAGGGAAAAATGTCAATATAAGCATTATAGCAACCAGAAGACACTTAAATATACTTTCAATAAAATAAATAACAATTGTATCTACATTTTTATTATATTTTATGCATAAGAATAAGAAATATATATTTTTTTGTATTTATCAGGCCTTGCACGATTGTCCTAAATCTATCGTTTTCATATAGCGGTTCAGGTGATACTAAAATTTAGACTTAGAGTTTTCCAGGTACCAGTAAAATTAAAGAGATTATAAAAATCTTCGGCATTGGAAAAAGGCAATTTAAACATATTTAAGCTACAAAATGTTTAGTAATTAAGATGTAGAACACTTCTGTGCATATCTAAAATGGTTAAAATGTCAAATGATAATTCAATAATTTAGAGAGTAAATATGAAATACATTTTATTTCCAGTGCAGTGAGTTGTGGAGTCACAGCGAAAATATTTTTTGCGTGGGGCCAATGTCTGGTACTAATACTTGATGCCTGGGGACTTGAGGTCTTTGAGGCAGGGCCCAAAGAGGGGGTGGCGGGGGGTGCAGGAGGGCAGGGCAGACGCCATTTTGGCCAAATGGCGGCGGCGTTGGAGTTGCAGTATTTGTTGTTGTTGTTGTTGTTCCTGCTGAGAGCCGTGTGCGGAGTTGGCGATCAAATGCGATCCCAAGATCTCTTGCATGCATAATGATGCCGTCTGTTGTATTTCTGCCTGCTGTCGCCGATGTTTCGTTAAATTGTGTGTGTGCTTACAGTAAGAACAACAACAACAACAGCAACAACAGCAACTAAAACAACCATAACAAAAAACAACAACATAAGCAAAGGCTAAAAACAAACATAAAAACAACGCAGTGCCGTAAAGTTCAAACCAGCAACACACACTCACACACAAAGGCGTTGATGAAGACGACAGCAAAGATACAAAAAAAGATACAACAACAAAAACATGGATCCAGTGCCGGCTGTTTGGAGAATTGGAGAATTGGACAGCTGCCTTCGTGATAGATACGATACTCCTATTCCGGCTGGCCTGGCCCAAGTATTTTTGTACTTTTACGGGCCATTGAGAAGCGCAAAGCAAAAAATAAAGAACAGCTATAAGAAGGGAAACGCAAATGTTTCTATACCCTGACTTTAAAAAAATGATTGTTTTTAATTTTCTATTAATTAAATGGAGCTATGTTTTATACTTGATTTATTTAAGATGTTTAAACCCTCTGTGTATCTCAAAAGTACAAAAAAACGTACTTCATAAATACATATGATATGTTTGTTTATTCAAAAACAAGTCTATATAAAGAAAGACGACTAAGGGCAAAAAGTTTCACCTATGGCAAAGAAAGTTCGGGTTCAAGTCACACTTCTTGCCAACGAATTTTTCAGTTTTTCAGTTTTATAAATTTGATTTTAAATACATTACAATTACATACATAATGTTTTCCTTTTGATTTCCATTTTGTCTAAAGTAAGATGGAATGTCAGATCTGACTGTGGAAAAGATATTTTGTTTTGAAATTAAACCAATGAAATTGATATAGTTCCTTAAATTTAACAAAATTCAGATACATTTTCAAAGGGGTCAAAAAAGATATTATATAAAAGTAACATTCCTTCTGAATAGAAGTTACCGTAAAAGTCTTTCTATCTATCATGTTAGTTAACTGGGTGGGTGCAACAAAGACAGCTTGCTGAGTGGAAAGAAATAACTTAGTTTTGGAAAGGCTGAGGGAGAGAAAAGCAGGCAACTGGACTGGAAACTCAAAGACTGGCCAACTTACAGATACTCAACAGAAACAGACATTGTATTAATTAGTAGAGAAGCGGGCGAAAAGGGTCTGCACTTGACACGCAACCCGGGAAATGGTCGCTCACTCCCACACACAAGACCCATAAAACCCCCTCCCCAACCAAAAAAACGACCGCCCTCATCGTTAGGCCGGCAACAAATTGACGCAATCTGATTAAAAACGCATCAAAATAAAGCTAACTGGTGGCCAGGGGAAAAGGGAAAAGAACAACAACCTATGCTAAATGCTCGTAAAAGTAATTTTTTTTGGCCCACACACACGCGCGACCCGCTGCCCTCACCCACAGCACACACTCTCACACTCACTCACTAACACAGAGACACATAATTTAGGGGTGCCGGCGGAAGTGAAAAGGAAACATCTAGTCCTCTTAGAACAGCCGTCGTCCCCTTTTTGCGTACGCAGCATCCGCAAAAGAGTGCCAAAAACTGGGTGGTAATGCCGGGGATTTTCTACAGTGGGCACTCGCTAGCAGAAGAATTTCCAAAAGAACGAAGCCCATTTCTTGATTACCAGTTATTCGATTTTTTTTGGAAAAATATTTATTATATTTAGAATGGTTGAAAAGTTAAATAAAATTTCATTGATTTAGGTAGTAATATATTTTTTTTTAAATATAAAATATAGATTATGACACACTGATAATAATCTGTAACGTATACTGTCTTAATGAGTTACATATAATAACGAAGCCCATTTTTTGATTACCAGTTATTCGATTTTTATGAAAAAATAATTATTATTTTTAGAATTTGTACTCATGATTCAAAAGTTAAATCAAATTTAGTAATATTTTTTTTAATATAAAATTTGGCTTATGAAACACTGATAATAATCTGTAACATAAGCTGCCTTAATGAGTCACATATAATGTTGAACCATAACAAATCTATAATTGTTGACCCATTTGTTTTAATGGTCTTTATAACTTTTAATGGTATTATTCTGTTTTGTAGGTTAATATTTATATAAAATACAAAATGAGTACAATGTTTAAAGCAACATACAAGTAATGGTATGCTAATTTCTTTGATAAGACGCAAAAGGTGGAGATTCCAAGGATTTTTGGTTTACGAAAATAGCTATATTAGGTTATCTCCTATGTCCAGGTTCCACTGTCCTGGAATATTGGTGCCGTGCATGACCGAAAATCACAGTGCGGGCGGAAACTGAGTGCCGTCATCAAAATACGCACACACACACCAATCAAAATAGAAGCACACGGGGATTGAAAAGAGAAAGACAGAAAGGGCCAGACAGATGAAGTCAGAGGGGGGGAGGGGCAGGGCAAAGAGCAGGGTGACAGCTGCTCCATTCGCGTCCGGAAAAAGTGGCCGCTAAAATCATTTGTTAAGTGCGGTGGCCATGACAACTGTCCCAAAAGTCGGGAGTCCTGGTCAGATTTTCAATTTTTTCATCTCTCTCTTTCCAGAGCGCACGCACACACATATGCAAGTATTTCCATCATCATCAACACCAGCAAACAAAACAAGAACAACAACCGAATGCAGTCCCCCTTTTTCACACAGAAAAAAACAATGGGTTGATATTAAATCAAAGTCCATTTTCATTGTTTAGTTTAACATTTGTTCAATCAAATGGCTTAAATGGTCTAGAACGCAGAGAGCATCTGTTTTTGGTAGCCAAAGTCTGGGTTCAAATCCCACCCCTGTTTAAGGAATTTTTATATTTTTTCAGCTAAATAAATATAGACAATTGAATTTTAAATTTAAATACACAACTGAAAGGTTTCACGTTTTAACATTTATTACTTTTTCGTTAGTTAAGGATGTGTCAAATTTTCAAACTTAAGATCCTATCATATCATATCAGCTTTTCTTTCTGTGCATCCATTCCGCTTCCGTGTTTCGAAATTCAATTTATGTATACTTTATGATGCCGCAGCCGGCTCCCCAAGCTCCATTTCGCCCCCTCACCCCCTCCACTTTTGCCCAGTGAGGCGGAGAAAATTGTAAGTTCAGGAAAATCGATTTTCTTTTTGTATTTTTTGCCGTTTTTCGGCTTGCGGCAGACAGGGCTAATTGGTGTTCTTTTTTTTCATCAGCGAAATGCATGCTGCATTTGCAGTTTCACTCACCTCGTTGCGCTATTTCTGATGCTCCGGATTCGGATTCGTTTTTGGGGGATTCGGGATTGGATTCTCCTGCCCCACTTCGCTTCCCTTCCCTCACCTTCCCTTTCGGCCAAGGAATTTGCGTCCAGAGAGCCGCACTCACACGCACACACTCACGCACAGCCACACACAACTGCAGCAGTGTTTCTCTTCAATTGCAGAGCTCTTTTTTTAAACTATTTTCACACCTGCACTCGCGATTTTCACGCACTTTTCCGGTGGCACTTTCCTATAAGATACAAATGCGTGGAGTATTGGGTGCCTCACATGCTGCCCGTTTTGAACAAACGCTTTTCACTTTTTTGCAGCTGAACGGGAAAACAAAGTTTTCTGAGTTTCGGTTGGTTGGGCAGTGTGACCGCGACTGTGGATGGGAAATAATCCGCGTAGGGGAATATACCGAAAAGTATCTTTCGGATTCACCCGCAACAGCTGCGCTGCAACAACAATCGGGAATAGCTAGAGATGGTAGTTCGATATCAGTTCGATAACTAACGTTTAAAGTTTATATTTTGTGTTAAAATAAAAACTATATTTAGCATAACAGATACGATTTTTGAACAATTTTAAGAAAGGTTTTTTTTTTTGAACGTTGTCTTTGATAATATTAAATTGGTTTTCTTTATTAAACTTTGTTATAATAGTAATTGCCGGGCAATTATTAATTAGCAGATTAATTACGTGGTTCATATAAATGTATGTTTTTAGTTCTAGGAACTTTAAAAAGTAAATTAAAATATTTGAAATATTTACTTATCGAACTAGAGCTCGATAGTTAGAGCAGATAAACAACTTCGAATTTTCGAACATCGCAGTCTGGCAACGCCAAATTTCGTGATCAGCTGTTCAATGGGTATTTTTTGGTCATACTTACTGGAATTACTTAACTTAACATGCTGCAAGGAATGCTTAAGAGGTAAATGAACAATAAACAATAGATTTTGTATGAAATATTATAAACAAATTTCATTACAGGACCTGCCTTGCGGTTGCCAACACCGCCCAAACGCTAATTTCCCGGGATAAGCACGCTTTTAATCGGGCGCTGCTGAAACCGAAAGTCCGCTGCCATTTCCCGAAACCCATGGAGGTGAAGAGAATCAATGTCCACGGCTGGCAAGCGAGGATGTCCACGCCCGAGGGACGTCGCGTGCTGATGAACAGGATCCTCAGGGGCCGCCACAACATATCCCACTAGCCCTTCGTTAATAAACCTCATTTTATTTACAAATAGTCTTTTTACAATTAGCACGATATAGCCGTAGCTCAGTTTGAGTTCCTTTGATGCGCTGGAACTCCCAGGAAGGCAGGTGCTCGATGGTAGATCTGCTGTATACTCTTCGAAGATTTCGAGTCGTCTAGGATGAATACGAAGGGCACAATGTTGTCCACTCCCTGACCCTGATTCTTGAAGTAGCCCTGCGGTAGGGTTAGTTCTCCGCCCAGAATGAGGCAATCCACCAGGGACATCCTTTGAAGCGGCATCGCAGGCACCAGGAACAGCTCCTTCCGGTCATAGTCAATGGCACGAACCACTCCTAAAAGAATATAGATCAGTAACTGAACCACAAAAGGCATTAAGCATATACAAACCTATTCCCAAGCACTGAGGCAGGCCTTCTCCTTGCTGATGACACAGATAAACTACATTTGCCTCCATCCCGTGGATCAGTTCTTCCCGTGAGTAAGTCTCGCTGGTGGCATGCCCTATCTTCAGGGATTCCAGGGACACCTTTACCGGCTGGCAGTCTGTGAGGGTTTTGGCATTGCCCGTGAGACACGAACTGAGGCGTGCCAGCAGGTTGGAATATCGCATGTCCTTGGCGCTCAGGCTCCAAGCTCCTCGATCTTTGGCAGGCGCCACGCTCTGTAACTTGTGGAGTGTGTACTTTGCTATTTCCTTCACCCTGAACTCCTCCGCCGTGTAGATAATGGGTTTCAACTGGGACAAACTGCTCCATTCGAGGAAAGAATCAAAGTTATTGATCGGAACTGGACTGGAAATTTGGATAAGGTCAGTGGGTCGGATGCGATCCACCAGCAGGGCCATCAGTTCGGTACCAAATCCTTTGTTATATCCCATAGTATTTACCAGCCAGGGAATATTTGCGTACTTCGGATCCTTATGAATTTTCTGGATCAGCTGAATGACTGCTCGAGCATACTGCTCTGCGCACAAGACTATATTGGTGTGGCCCACGACATAAGCTTGGTCGGGTTGCTTGTTGTAGAGGAATCCTGGTCCCAAAAGAGGCCCATCGATAAGAGTGCAAGAAACCGTCTGAGGAACGAAGATTTCCGGCTGACCTATGTCCAAATCGATAAGCAGGAGCGATGGGAACTGACCAAGATTCCGATTGATGAGGTAACGAAGTAAACTGGATTTTCCAACGCCCTTGCCACCTGCTATTAGAATCCGACTAGAGGTCTGCAGTTTCAACTTATTCCACACTTGCGGAACTTGCAGAGTACGACTCAGGTCGGAGGATTGGATCAGGCAGTGCAACAAGGATTCACTTTGGTGAAACGGTCGATTGGAAGCGTTGACCAGTGGGAACAAATTCTGCGCCATGTGCTTGCCAAAGTTATCCACCAGATGCTGGGCACCTGTATTGCGCTGTAGTAGTACTATTGCATTCGTCTGATTCTGGAAGCTGCCTTGAATCCTGTCCAGCTGGGCTCGCGTAAAGTTCTTGTTGAGCTCCTCCCATTGCACCTCATCCTTGGCAGGTTTTTTGGTCTTTGTGGGTGAGATAGACACCCAATTAAGGCCTTTTGGCGAATAAATGGTAAGGGGCTCTTGTCTGCGCGGCCTGTAACCATTCACTGATATCTGGCCACTCAGCAGGGTGAGCACCAGTGTACCATACAGCTCCAGATCTTCTTTAATCACGGCCAGCACATGGTTGCTCTTGAGACTGTTTTCGAACACGCTGAGTTCGGTGAAGTTGGCTTGAGGGTTTCTGTAAAAAGGTGTGTCGATAGGTTGGGTAACCTGCTCCTTTTCGGTTGGTACAATTTCTGGCAATGATTCCTCAGCATCCACTATCGTTTCCTCGAGAACTGCAGGCTCGTCTATTACAGTGCTAAATTCTTCTTTAGGTGAATCTTCTTCTGGAGGCACAACAATGGATTCTTCTAGAATCTCCTCCACAACGCTTGCCTCTCTTATTGTCTCTTTGGCCTTAGGTTGGCCTTGGTATCTAACCAGTTCTTTCTGGTTTTCGTCCGTAGGTTGATCATCAAAGATTTCCTCTATAGTAAGAGGCTCTTTTTGTATTCCCATAGGTTGGTCATCAAAGAATCCATCGATGTCAGGGGGCTCATAGGTTGAATCGAGGTCGTCGCTGTCGAAGAAATCGCTGCCGAATTCCTCACTATCGCTATCTTCGCTGTCGAAATCTTCATCGCTGTCAAAGTCTTCGCTATCTTCAATGTCAAACTCCTCGCTGCTGGTATCTTCACTGTCAGATTCATCGCTGTCAAATTCTTCAGATACAAAGTCGTCGCTGTCCTGTGGTTCATAATCATCATCCTCTTCGTCACTGTCGATTTCCGCCAATGCACTCTCGAATACCTCAATCTTTCGAACTATTCCCTTGCCATCACCTTGTAATAGGTGAGCGCGGTCCTCTACATTTTCAAATGGAGCAGGTAAGGCTAGTATTTTGCTCTGATCCCCTTTGGATTTGGCTTTAAAAATCTGTGGTTTTTTAAAGAAATTTTCGCTAACTTCCTCGGAGTCATCGGTAAACGAATCTGTTGAAAACCAGATTAGTTGTATATAAAGCTTATATCGTGATATTACATACCATTTGCTATAGAATTATTCTCTTCATACTCTTCATCTGTTGATAAAATCTCAAAATCCTCCCGTTCGTAGTCACTACCATTGTTATTGAAAATTGTATAGCTCTTGACTGGACCATTGTTTGGGTTGTTATATCCATTTTGACTGTATTCCTTGAATATCTGAGGTATATTCTGCGATCTGGCGATTTTGGAACCTTTTGTTTTCGTGGGGCTCTTTACGGATTCTGTAAAATAAAGATAATATAATTTGCATTTTAAGAAGAAATGTTATAAAGCTTACCATTCTTACCAGAAACTTTTCCTATATGGCCTTTTTTAAGTTTCTTTGGCACGGGAATATTGAATGTTTCCATTACAACGGGTTTCTTGGAAATAGTCTGGAATTTCGCTTTGGGACTCTTCCCTGGAGTAGTAACATCATTCTTGGGCCTCTTTCTGGATGGAGAACTATCTGGTATTGTCCCTTTATTGGAAACCGGCCTCTTTTGGGCAGCCTTCTTTTTTGCCTTCGATGTTTGGGGCGACTTTATCTCAACCTTTTGCATCTTTTGGGGCGTAATCTCTGCGGGAGCACTGGAAGCCTTTGGAATCACCTTCTGTTTGGAAGCCACAGGTGGAGGCGCTGGTTTCCCCGGCTTTCTGCGACCGGAGGCAAGTTCTCGCTGTTCGGTGAGCTCGAAACTCAGCTGCATTTCTTTCAACATTTGCTCGTTTAGTCTTCCTGTTTTCATTTTCCGCAGAAACGTTGAGAATTTATTAATTCCCGGGCCATGCGACCGGCAGTATAAGAAGAAGAATCAAAATCATCTGTGCAGTATGACCACCCGCTAGACCAGCGACAGCGTTGCCACCTGGTAAGCTATTCGATAACCGCAAATAACAGCCCTGCGCTCGAAGGCGTTGGTTTGGTCATCGAACGTTCATCGCGCTACCGAGAAATGAAACGGATGAACATTGTTCATCGTCATTTTGCATGGGAAAAAATCGTCGAGTTCAATTCGAATTTTTGTAATTGCATTAACTTTTATACGATATAGCTAAACGGTAGACGCATAAGAATCAACAAATTTGTGCCATTTTGTAAGCAAATTAAGTGTCGAATTCGTGCTGAGTGTTGTGAAATCACCAATATAAATTGTAAGTGGCCGAAAGAGCAGCAGTGAAAAAATTCCACACAGCACGCACACAAATGCACGCACGCCCAGCCAGAGGGGCACACAGACACGGCGTAGTCGCACAGACACACGCGTACGGAGAGTGGATGATGAGATGTTTTTGGAATAAAGCGAGAGCGGGACGGGGCGCGGAGTTTCCTGGAGAGAGAGAGAGGGGCGGAGAATGGAGAAGCGGGCGGCCCTATGACGCGACCAGAAAGGAAAATGCGAATGCGAATGCGAAAAGGCGAGAAAAACGGGAAAACTCGGCTAACGGGCAATGGACAGAGTGGACAATGGCCAGAAAGAAAGAACCCCACACTTTTGACTATTAGATCGCCGTTCGCCGTCCAGCCGCGAGTATGACTAAGTGTGTGTGCGAGCGAGAGAGGGCTATCGAAAAAGAGAGCGAGCGGGCGCGTGTGAGTGTGTGTGTGTGTGCTGTGCTGTGCATGTGTGTGGCTTTTTCATTTTGATAATTTTTGAACAGTTCGCTCAGTTTTCGCGAATAAATTAAACAGAACTGAACGGCGAACCGGGGAATTGGAATCTGAATCGGAATCGGACTCCGGGATTCCACTGCATCTGATTGCATCCTTGTACAATTTCGACTTTGCCTTTTGCAGAACTTCCAATGACGACGATTCGCAAGAAATTGGTAATTGTCGGCGACGGTGCCTGCGGTAAAACTTGCCTTCTGATTGTCTTCAGCAAAGATCAGTTCCCCGAGGTCTATGTGCCCACCGTGTTCGAGAATTATGTGGCCGACATCGAGGTGGATGGCAAACAGGTAAGCCGCCGACCACCCCCTGATAACCCCACACACCACCCCAAAATCGCAACCCACCCCACCCGAGTGATAATCATCTGATCTCGTTTTATAATTTGTGTGTGCATTCAATTCATTCCGTTTTTCAAGTGCGCGTATCCTCTTTTTACACTTTCTGCCCCGATTTGTATTTGTATTTCCAATGGGTGTGTGTTTTTATTGTTCTCTTGTTTGTGCCACCCACAACTTCACCCACACCTATGTACAACGTCTTTCCTTTTTGTTCCCTTGTAAAAGAAAAAGTGACTCAATATCGCCTGATACTTACAGTAAACACTAATAAACAAACATAGCCACATAGAGATCGTTGCGAATTTCGGGATTATTTGGTTTATTCGGAAGAAGAATCCAAACTTTTGATAGCAGTGATTAAGACACACTTGGCCACATTTCCCCACACTTACATACATACATACATACTAAACAGAGAGTTGGCAGCACCAATACCAGTGGAGCAGCTCCCTTCCTTCCGCTCGTTTTCTTTTCTTTTATTTTGTATTTGTCTTATACAAGTCCGTTGCGCACATACAGTTTAATGCGTTGCGCCGCCCCCCGCTCTCTCTCTCTCGCTGGCTGGCTCTCCCTCGCTCTCTCTGTGTCTCTCCCCACCTAACCTACCTGTGCACTCTCTTCTGGGGAGTACTCTCCACTCCCCCAGCTCCCTCTCCCCCTCTCACGAAATGTAATGTGCGATTTCCAAGGGGCATTAAGTCATGATTTGGCTATATGTATATTCCATTCGGATCCCCAATATTTTCAGGCGCTTTTTGAAATAAACACTGTGTTTGCCTTTGCTGCGCAATATGGCGGGTTTTCGGTTTTTTCAGTTTTTCAGCTTTCGGTTTCTGTTTCTGTTTGTATTTCTGTTTGGATAGCGTTTACATACACACGTTCACGTCATTCTACTTCGCCTCGCTTCGATGTGATTAATTCGTTTGGCATTTCCGCCAAGTTCCTTGCTCACACTCTCTTACTCGCGCTATCTTCAACTCGAAGTGGTCTCGTCTTCGTCTCTAAAACCCCATTCCCATCCCAAACCTTGGATCCCCCAGCTCTACCTATCTATCTATCTATCTATCTATCTATCTATAATCGTGATGGCACACATGCAACTGCAGTTCCCATTCATAATCACAATCCACTTCCAAATCTCCAGGTGGAGCTGGCCCTGTGGGATACGGCCGGGCAGGAGGACTACGACAGACTACGACCGCTGAGCTATCCCGACACTGACGTCATACTGATGTGTTTCTCAGTGGATTCACCCGATTCGCTAGAAAATATTCCTGAAAAATGGACCCCAGAGGTGAGTACTACTGGAAATGAAAATACACCCTAGGGAACTACTGTAACTCGAACGATAAAAAAAAACTAGAAAACAAAGATGAAAGATAAGGCCTACGCAAAAAAAAAATATAAAAGGCAGAATTTTTTTGAAACATATTTTTGCAAAGATCTCAATAAGAAATATTTGAGTTTCATTCCAACAATGTTTGACTTTATCAAAATATCAAACCCTATAATTTGTAAAACAATCCCCAAGTCAAGGATAAAAAGATCTTTCCATTTTAAACTCATTTCTAAAGGCCTCATTACAGCTCATACAAATTTTATACAAATTTCAAAAAACTGAGATGGAATAGATTTTTGTTCCATTTTATTTTATACTTTGTGCTTACATTTCAAGTGGAACTTTATCAAGATTCGAAACCATAGTTAAATAGCACTAAATTATGGGGAATCCCATTTCTCTATCGCAAAAGTGATCATGACTCGCATTTGTTATCTAGGCAATGCTCTTTGGTAACTTAAATGTGGAACTAGCCAGGTTCTAAAGTAGTGTATGATTACTAACGATATTAGTAATTAATTATTTAATCTTTTTCAAAAGGTCTATGATCCGAAGTCTTTGAATATTCTAATTAATTGGCTAAAGTTTGCCTTTGTGTCAGTCCTTTTTAGACCGTTTTTGTGAAAGATGATCTCTTATCTTTAAAGAGCGTTGTTTTGAACACAAAACAAGATATCTTATTATGTAACAGAGGGATTTGCTTTCTAGTTTTTGAAGTGGCTTTATTTAAAGTTTCAATATCCATCAGATATGGAGATACATGTTCGAGTTACAGATCTAAGGCTAATTTCTCTTTTAAACTAAATAAAACCATCAACTAATCGCATGAAATCCTTGCAGGTCAAGCACTTTTGTCCAAATGTTCCAATCATTTTGGTAGGAAATAAGAAAGATTTGCGAAATGATCCCAACACAATTCGGGTAAGTATCCGCACCGTTGACCGGCTGAAACTAGAGAATTAACCCAAATTGGTTTTACAGGATCTAGCAAAAATGAAGCAGGAGCCGGTGAAGCCGCAAGAGGGTCGCGCCATGGCCGAGAAGATTAATGCCTTTGCCTATTTGGAGTGCTCGGCCAAGTCCAAGGAGGGTGTGCGAGATGTTTTCGAGACGGCAACTAGGGCCGCGCTGCAAGTCAAAAAGAGGAAGAAGACCAGATGCCTTTTGCTCTAAAAGAGCAAATCAACAACATGAAAATCTTTACCACACACACAGCAACAACAACAACAGCATACACACACACAAACACACAGCACACAACATACACACACCTTTTACAACAATAACGAGCTGAACAACCACTCAAGAACAACCAGAACATCGGATACGGATACACGAAGCTGCACCACCCAACAGCAACAGCAACAACAACATGAGGAGAAACAGAGCTTGATGAGCTACAAGATACAAGATCGGAAGAGGAGGGAGCAGCGGAATAAGGGAAGGCAGCATCAAGTAGAATGTCAAATGCGGATTTGATTTTATATACAGTCTAGTGTAGTTATAAACCGAAGTAAACAACAGTAATAACTATGGCATTATTATTTGTAACCCTAGGGCAGAGCAGATCGATCAGTCAGCCACTGCAAGCAAATATATATCGATATATGTAAACATATTCAAGTTGTGTCCGTTTCTGTCCACCACCCCCCTCCTTGATGTATGATGATGTATTTATGTACGATGTTTGTTTGTTTTATATATATATTTTTTTTGTTTCGTGATCTGTGTTGTCAAATTTAGCCGGCTGTGGCAGGATGAGATTGTGTCGTATTGTGAGGGTGAGTGAGGCAGGTGAATCAGTGGAATCAGAATCAGAAGTTGGACCTTGAGGTCCTTGGCAGGCGTAGGTGACGAGATGAGAGTTATGTTCCCTTTAAATCTATCAGATGCAGAGAGACCAGAGACCGCCAATAGAAGATGCAAGTGAAACTACATTACAAGAACCGAACTAAACACAAAACAAAACAAAAACAAAAAAACGATAAATGTTTATTTAACTAAACGTAAGCCACAAATGAGATGCATTCAGTTTTCGCGTGGGGAGATGCTAAAAGGGAGAAATTTTGATGATGATGATTATGAGATGATGAAACAACTATTTCGAGCGCATTAAGCGAGTTTTTAATATTTGTACTTTGCATTAAAACGAGTGGAAAACATAAAAAAAGATACTACAAAACAACCAAACTATATGAAGAGTATTTTATGATTTTATAAAATACGAATATACATATAATTATACTATACAGTACATATGTGTATGTCTCTTTTTTGTATTTTGTACCGTCAATCGTGTAATTCTCACACAGAAGTTGAAAAACTCGAAGATGCATCAGATACAACCAAACTATATTATACTTATGAATAAACAGTACATTTGATCTACTCTTGGTTTAACTCACTGTTTTACTTGGACAGGGGATTGAAATTTAAGTCAGCTTTATTAAGATGATAGCGGAAGGTTTCCCCCGGATCGTCAGAATATGGATGTAGAACTCCCAAGAAAGTCAGCCCATCTGGAACCAAAACTCGCACCTTTAACGGGGTTTCAAAAAAAACTTTATTTAGGGGATTGTTTTTGTTTATTTTGTGCTTTTGTATGCTTTTTTTACATTTAAAATGTACATAACATTATGAATCAAAGTTTTTTGGTTTTTTCTCGATCGGGTATTACAATTCAATATTATTCCCGAACAGGTATGCCGTTTTTGAAACGACATGGACACGACAGAATGCATTGCACATACAGTTCCCAAGACTATTCTCTTAAAACGTACTTTTTAGATCGCTTAACTTTCGGCGTTAGCTTTACTTTTATATTTTCTACCCGCATTTGATTACTCGATTTCGTTTTTAGCTGTTGTTTTCGTTAGTCGATCTGGTTGGTTCGAAAGGATTCGCAATAACAATTAATTATTAGTAATTCTGGCAGTCTGCTTGACTGCCTGGGGATCGTGTAACAAACAGAGTAATTAAAGCCGTGTTAGTATTTCGTTTCCGGTGATGCAGTTAACATTGATGAGAGGAACTCATGGTGAATGCTTAGAGAACGTGATGTGTGGTTGTACATTGTGTGTAAAAAGTAATCAACAGATTGGTTAAACTAATAATAAATAAACTTAGGCGTAACACGTGTGTCCTTAACAATATAAACAATAAACTTCTCTCAAACTTAAACAACAAATGCATCGGCTGTCGTGGGCTTAAATTATCAATTATCAATTATCGTTATTAATTTGGGCTTGGATCCGACAATTGAACGCACTTTCTCATTCACATTTCGTTATTAGCAATGTTCCCGCGTTTTCACATACTTAGGTCGATCGATCGATTTTATAATATTAGTATACATTAAATTCAACATTTATTCGATTAGTTAAATGTGTTGCTTGTGTCGTATGTCATGTGCGTGTCATCTGGGTAAATACGTACATACATAGGTTTAAAAATCTTTCCCTACTCCCGCTTCACTCGCCCGGCAACTGGCCTAATTGGGTTAATCTCCTGGCTAGGATTCAGAGCAATCAGATTCTTCTTGCTGAATTTAAATGCTTTTGAGCTTCAGCCAATTGCCAATACTTGCCCCTTTTTTGCTTTTGCTTAATCGCTCTCGTCTAGGAATCAACGTTAGTAATATTTACTACATAAACATATGTACGTGCATTGTTAATATGTATCTTTTGGATCGGTGCTTAAACGTATTGATATACTCTATCGCTGCTCTACGCCTCCCTAACCCTTTTCTGGCCGACAACAAGTACTTTAAATATTTTTTTGTAACAAATAATAAATAAACCACTGTGGCCATAACAATTAGTTTTCCTCTCCCCTCGTATCTTGTCTGCTGTATCTATCTGATGTGGGCGTTTTGCTAAATACCATGTATGTATCAATAGCGAACAAAAGTTACTCGTATGGTGTGGTTAATATTGCACTCGTTTAGGGACACCCCATCCGCATCCGCATCCTAGTTGAGGTTTCGTCTGCGCCGGAACACCAGAGCGAAAATGGATCGGATGCGCCACCAGCGGCTGCGTCGCCCCGTATGGATCTTCTCCGAATTGGAGTCCGTGCCCAGGGCCTTCTGCATCTCCTTGCGTCGAATCTCACGTACCAAGGTGTAGAACGCCTCGTCGATGTAATGACGCAGTGCAGCCGAGGTCTCGAAGAAGGGGCAGCCAAACTGGTTGGCCAGATTCTTGCCCTCCTCCGTGGTGACTCGTCGCTGCGACTCCAGGTCCACCTTATTGGCGATCAGTACCAAAGGAATGTCCTCGGACAGACGGACACGGGTGATCAGTTTCCTATACTCGGAGGCCTCCTGGAAGCTGTGGCGGTCGGTCACCGAGTAGCAGATAATGAAACCTTCGCCGCAACGCATGTATTGGTCCCGCATGGCCGTGAACTCCACCTGGCCGGCGGTGTCAAGGATGTCGAGCAGGGCGGCCTCATTGTCGATGACCGCCTGTTGCTGGTAGGAGTCCTCTGTGGGGGATGGAAACCGGTATATGTAGGGGGTATATTTTGGGGGTGCAAAGCCCCTCCTCCTGAGCCTTACTCACCAATTGTGGGGTCGTGGTAGTCCAGGAAACTGTGGCTCACGAACTGAAGGGTGACAGCTGTTCGGGTTTCATCGTCGTCGTCGTCGTCGTTTTTGAGGGGGCGGTGGGTGGGTGGATGGCGGTTCCAAAACAAAGCGTAAAAGAAATTGAGATAATTTATTGATTTTTCGCAGCCCCCAAGCAAAGTGCGCAGTGATAACTCGGCGTTTTTCTTTGGACGCTCAGCGGCTCACCTGACTTTCCAACGCCCCCGTCGCCGAGTATGACAATCTTGTAGACCCTCAGGCCGCCCCGCATATTCTGGGGCGGCACAGGCGGTTGCTTCACCAGGCTGCCATTGTCCCTGTGGTCGTTGGGCATCCGCATCGAGTCCGTGTCGGCGGCACTGGTGCAGGACCTCAGCTTGCTGGATCGCTTCAGGGCCGCACAGCCGATGGACATGTCGCCGGCCATAACTCCCACTGGCCAACAAGGATTTAGCCCTAGTCCCTCGTCCAAGTCCCGTTTGCCCGTTCGATCGGATCACACGGAGAACCTCTGCACCACCGTCGCCAATTGTGTATTATTTTCTTGTTTTTCTCGGGCTCGGGGTTGGTTCTCTTAGGGATCGGAGCGTGAGGGATAGTATCTAAGGGGCACGAACACGAATATTAAGTCGTAGTGCGCATGAATTTAAATGTGATTTCTTTAAGTAGTTATTACTTTATATTTGACTGATATCTTAATACAAAATCTTAAATTAATACAATAAATGTACCCAATATTTTAGTAATTGTTGTAAAAAGATCCATTTTTTAAAGCTATGTACCTAATATTTTAGTAATTCTTGAAAAAATAACCATTCTTAAGTATAAAGTATACATATTTCTTAAGCTACGTATATCTTATGGTTTGTAATTTCAAAAAGAAAGGGCAAACGGCTTAATAATAACTACGTAATTTATGTTTTTAGTATCGTCATAGTATCCACTTCCGAAACTATCGTTAAGTTTGGAATTTTGACCAATTTTTCCTTATTATAGGTTGTATTTCATATTTTTCGAAAGCTAGTTTTAGTCGGACAAGTAAAAGATTTGAAAAAGAATTTAAATAATATAGTTTAAAAGTAACATATACTTTTAAAGTATAGCATAGGATTCCCACCTGTCATCTCTAGCTGTCACCTTTCTCCCCCCATCTGGCAACGCCATTCGCTTTATAAATAATTTTCCTACGGCGCGAGCGGTATTCGCTTTTAGTAACGTGCTGCTCGTCGAACAAGATCTCCCGTTTTGCCCGGTCCGCTCGAAAAGGAAAAACAAACGCTCTCCATCGAATTGGCATAGATTTAGTGCCCTCCGAGCTGAAAATGTCGGGCGATGTGCAGCCGCGAAAGCGTAAGGATAAGCGCCGGAAACGCGGTAAGTCGAGTCCTTCCTGTGATATTACGATCTCTTCCGGACTGACCGTTACTGTGGTGGTAAAAAATCGTAGTTTTTCGCCGCTACCGCTGCCGCCGCCGCATAGCAAGCAGTTCATTTCTTTTATTAGCATAATAATATTGTCGAGTGCCTTTAAAAATAACTTTGCCCTATTATATAAAATTATACATCTCGCCTGTTTTCTGTCGCTATGCGTGTGCCGATCGAGCAGGAAAAAAAATATATATATATCAGCATATATGACGTGTGCGGGGGACCAAGAAGTGGATATACCGATCGGGGCCTACAGAAGGGCATTGAATCGGGGTGCAAAATTCGATCGCGCAAAAGAAGAGAGTGGTTTTCTTTGATTTATTTATCTTCTTACGATACGATCCGGTCCGGGGCGAGCACACAGATGTTCACTGTCCCTGGGGATATCCTCTTATCGCTCTCTAGATCGCTCTCTCTCTTAGAGAGATATCATCGGCGAAATGGAGAACTCACCTCGAGCGAAGTCACCTCGGCGGTAAATTAGTTCCAATGCAACAGAGATCTAGAGATCTTAAGATCTAGAGACCAGAATCAAGATGATGCTTCCGTAATTTTGGGGCCATTACACCCACGGCACCGAATAAGTAGCCACGGTTATACGTACATATGTAATGCCATTTATTTTCACTTGGCCATCTGCCCAAGAGCATGACTGGCGGCTTCTTTGTTTATCGTTGCGCATATTTAGGCATAAACAAAACCCCCCGCCACTTGTCTTATCAGTTTGTAACGCCGGTATATCGTATATGTCTCATGTTGTAACTAACCTTTTGTCTAGATGATCGCAAATCCGAGGGCGATGTGACTGTTCTGCGTCAGTCCAGCTTTCAAGGTAGAGAAACATCATCCCCCTTTGTTTAGATCCCCACCAGAAACCCCCTCTGAATGCCTTGCCTAAACTCATTTAATGTCTCGCACAGTTAATAAAACTATGTAAATCCATCCCCACGCCGAACGAAGGTGCATTCAATTAAACTGTTTGTAATCACATGTGTTTATTATTCACTATATCATGCAATGGCCGGATCTCAGATGACGACGAATCTTCGCACGGCGTTCACATTACAAAGATGGGAAACGAAGATCTCCACCTGCACGTGCACCACGAACACGGGACCGGTGGTCATTGGTGTGCCAAGATCATATTCTTCGCTCTGATGGCAGTTCTACTTGGTTTGGTGGGTCTGATCATCATGGAGAACCGCGGCTTGGAGGATCGTAAGTTGGAAGATTCTTAAATGAAAAGATTTTACTATATATGTTTTTCTTCAGTGGACACTCCCTTATCGGAATCACGTTTCTCCAAAGTTTTTGATGGCTGGGTGGACGAACATAGGGACGAGCATGATGCCCATGATGTGCACGAACCCTCTGGTGAGGCTTTGGATGATCACGACGAGCAAGATGACCATGATGATCATGAAGAAGAAGGTGAGTTAACTTATACAAGCCTTAAGATACATTCCCTTAAAATTTAATACCACTTTTCAGAAGAAGAACCCCTTTCTGAGGAATTAGAAGAAGAAGAACCAGAAGAGGAGGAGGAAGAGCCTACTGAGGAGGAGGAACCAGAGGCAGAGGAAGATGAGCAGGAAGAAGATGAAGAGGATGAGGAGAACAATGCCGGCGAAAACATAACCGCAGAGGATGCAGAGGAGGATGAGGAGGATAACGAGGATGAGGGCACTGTGGAGGCCACGGTGGAAGCTACCACTGAAGCCACTACGGAAGCCACTGCGGAATATGAAGCTGAAGACGAGGATGAAGAGGATGAGGATGAAGCTCCAGCTGATGAGGATGATGCAGTAGAATCTACAGAAGCCCCACTGTCAGAAGCTGATGAGGTGGGATTTATAATCTACTTCTATCTATAACCATTTTTATAAAATTTTATTTTCGTATAGCAGGAGGAAGATGATGAAGACGAAGAAGAGCAGGAGGTAGAAGAGTCTGTAGAACCACCAGTATCACAGTCTACAGCACAAAGTGCCCCGGCTCAAGATGATAACGATGAAGATGATGATGAGGTGAGAGAAATATACTATTTAAAATGCCTGGTTCTTAAAATAGGTCTTTTAAAAGATAGAAATCAATATTAGAAAAAGGTTCTTATTTATTATTTTATTACATTTTATTTTTTAGGAACAAGATAACAAAGATGACGAGGACGACGATGACGACTTTGAGTCCCTGGATCAGCATGTTGAAAACGAACCCGAGGAATCGAAGCCAGCAAAAGCAGTAGATAGCCAAGAGCAGGATCAGAACCAGGACGATGAGGAGGAGCCCAAGGAAGAGGGCTCCTCTTGGTTGGCATCCCGTAAGTAAGAAGGGAATGAAACATTTGAACGGTTAACGGATCTCGCAGGCCTAGAACCTTAAGAACTGACAGACAGAAATGCTCCACCTTACAAAAACCCAACCAAAAACACAGAAACCGAAATTGTACAAGAAAGTGCAAGAGGCATTTGTTTGTTTTCTGATACTAAAACCTGACTCATTTACAGTTGCCGTTAAATTTGGCGTTGGCGTTGCACTTGCCTTAGTTTCACGCCTTGTATTGATAAGGAAAAGTCCAAATACAAGTGAGTCTTCAATGCTGATCTGCTCCCCCGAAATCTCCGCTCTTTGTATTCCGCTCTCTGCTCTTGATCTCTATCTAAATCAATATCAATATCCGCCAAGCACGCCAGATGTTATGCTAACGAACCTTACTCAACCTTACTCTGGGGATTCTTTTGAGTAATCATTACTAAGCGCCGCTTTCCATTCTAACCCACCGCCAAGCGATTGGTAGAATCAAAAAAACTGATACTGATCTCAATGTCTCGTGATCGATATTCGATTCTCAATGTATTAACAGAACTAAAACAAACTATTCTTTGCACTTTCTTCAGTTAGCTTATTTTGATTATCATTTATTATCATTATTATTATTATTATTATTGTTTCTTGAATCTGATTGTAGTCACAGCTTTGTTTAACTTATTCCACCAATGTATGTATGTACGGAAATTGTTGAATGGCTTTGTTCTTGCTCGATTAATAATCCCTATAACTCGAATAACATTCGAATCTTCCGTGGTGAATGCTTAGACGAGGATGAGCCCGCTCCAGAGGCTATACTGAGGCGAAGATTGACGATTGCCACGGCCGAGGATCATATACCAGACGATGTGGAGGAGCTGCCCCTGCTGGACGACGATGGTTGGAGTTATGAATTTTAATGATATAGAACTTCGGCTAGCCGAAGTTGCTTCCAAATCATTTGATGGTGATCTAATGATCTGGAAGCCTTTTATCACTTAGTCTGGGAGGGTCCAGAGTTTTAATTTAAGTCATATCCCATTGTCCAAAAAGAATACTCCGAGGAGGAAATCGAAATCGAAGAGGAGATCGAGGTGGAGATCAGCGACATCGAGGAGGAAGAGGAAGCCCGCCATGATAGCGATGACAATGTGGCCTCCATGGCCAACTATGTGCCCGATACCTTTGAGCAACTGAACGCCATGTACAAGTTGGTCCAGGAGCATGCTAAGGAAACCAAACCCGAGGAGAAGGAAAAAAAGGAGCCGGAACAGCCGGCTGGAGCCAGCGACATCTATGTGGAGTACGAGGACGGGGCGATTGAGGATTACGAGCACGAGGGGGATAGCGAGGATGAGGAGATCACCGACGAGGAGGACGAGATCTCCGACGTGGACGACGCTGATCTAATGAACCGGCTGGAGGCCAAGTACGGCCGCCTGCCCGTCAAGGAGTTCGAAAGCGATCCGGACTCCGACGACCCCAGCTGGACACGTAATTACTAGACTACACACATCACCGCGTCTGTCGATGACCACCCGACTCCATCATACTCCATCCGACATACTTTCGATCGATCACTTAAGCTATCGCTAACATAGGCCCAACACTACTTTAAGAAACACGACAAACAGATCGCTTTACATAACAGATCGTAAGTGTTAGCTGTAGAAAACCAATGTATCACCACACACAAGGTGGAGCTCTCTAGGCCGTAACCGTTCAAAATTCCATTCCTATTTCATTGGTAATCTCCCGATCTAATCGAGATTCTTAATCACCCAAAACAGAGATAAAGCCGAAAGAAGCTGCACCTGCACCTCCCGCGGAGAAAGAGGATCCTTTTGAGCAGGAGTTGCGCAAGGCCAACGAGGAGATGATTAGGGAGGTAGGTCAATCGATGGTGTCTCCTTAACCAGGATTAACCCATGGCATATCTCCCATATGTGTATCTCCAGCTCAACAATCACTAAAGAATATCACAACAAAACACACAACTCATTTCAAAGCTTTAGTTTATGTTTTGCTTGTCAAGTTCATTAGATCTTATAACTGTCTAGCCATGTAAGAAAAACGAAGTATCACTAATCAAATCTTAGGATTTAACCTTAGGTATTGGTAGAAACGCACTTTTCAGGTGGTTCAGAGTTAGTCAGGATGAACTCATGGCCAGTTCCTCCAAACAATACACACCCACTGGGGGGATTCTTTGGCCAGGGGCTCATCCATATAAAAAACCCCTGACAACTGCGTTTCACTTCTTGAGAGAATGATTTTATACTAATTGCATGTTTCTTGTACTTTTGTCTAACCCCCCTTTGTGTTTTGGCTGGCGAACCGCGAACTAATATCCAACCCAAAGAACTATGCCCAAGCCCTGCGATCCTTTAACACGCTCACCACCGACTATGCCCACGAGCCATTGGCCCATTTGGGAAGAGCCCGAGTCCTGGAACTCCTGTCCAAGAAGGAGCGCAGCAACCAGCGCCTGTGGGAAGCCATCGATGCCTACAAGAGATACCTGGCCTTTGGCAATCTGGTGAAAAGTGATCAGGAGTTTACAACTGCCGGCGAAAGTTGCATTGAGAATTTGAGATTTTTGGGTAAGTTGAGGGGTCTCTTTCCATATCACCTTAGTTCTTATTTCTCTTTGATTTTCAGGTTACCACCGACAGGCCACCACCATCCATGATCTGCTCATCGAACGTTTGCCCGAGGATCCCCGCCTGCGTAACCAACTCTCACTCACCCATCTCATGGTCAACAAGTAGGTGAGGCAAAAAACTGGATCTTCAAATAGCCTATAACAGCCCTTCAGTCTTCAGCAGGTTGAAAAGGTGGCCGAGGAAACCCTGAAACTCTGGCCAACCAATGCTGTGGCTCAACTCCACTATGGACTGGCTCTCAGGCAGCTCCATGGTGACTATGTCAAGGCTCTACCCTATCTTAGATATGCAGTGGAGTCCCAGGAAGAAGGCACCCAGGAGGCTTTCTTCTACTTGTCGCTTGGAGAGACCCTGCAGCGCCTGTCCAAAAAATCAGAGGCTCTGGAGGTGTACAGGAAGGGAGTGGCCAAGGGATTCTTTACCAGTCTCTATCAAAGATCACTGTATAATGAGCCCAGCCTGAAGGCACAGCCTTTTTGGCAGCCCAAGGAGACGGGTTACGAAAGGCAGCTGGATAGATTGCAGCTCCATTGGCGGGCCATTCGTGATGAGGCAGTGGCCCTGCTGGGTGAAAGTGGATTCTTCCAGGACGAGGCGGAACAGCTGCGTGACAAGGGAGTATGGCAGCAGTACGAGTTGTATGCCCAGGGTCGCCGGGTGAAGGACAACTGCCGAAGGACTCCGATTACGTGTGGCCTGCTGCAGGAGTTTCCCGAATCGTCGGGCTGTCGGCGTGGGCAGGTGAAGTTCAGTGTGATGCAGGCCACCACGCATGTGTGGCCACATTGTGGACCCACCAATTGCCGCCTGAGGGCACATCTCACCCTGGTTGCTCCAGAGCCGGAGAAAACCTCACTTCGAGTGGCAGAGCAGGAAAGGTGGGTCAACGTATAATGTCTATATGATCTGGCCTGCTAACTTTGATTACCATAATCTTCTTTCAGAACCTGGCGTGAGGGAGAGCTCTTTATATTCGACGATAGCTTCGAGCATGAGGTGTGGCACAATGGCAGCCAACCCCGCCTGGTGCTCATCCTGGACATGTGGCATCCACAACTGACTCCCGCCCAGCGGCGCAGCTTATCACCCATTTAATAACGGGCGTGTTACTTAGTTCTATAAACAGTTCCGGTTCCGGGGCCTGTAATTTAGTTCAATTTCTCCAAATCGCATCGTTCATTGTTAGTTAAATCTCCATGTTTTTGTATAGACATTCTAATTATACCTCTTAATCGTTAAGCTCGGTTTGAATGCGTGTTTAGGCTACATAGACGTCACTTTATCTGTGCATATCATACACGATTAGCGTTGGCTGGCAGCTTACCCTCGCTTTTTGTACTTTACAGAAATACAAAACCTTTTAGGATTCGACAATTGCTGTTTTTATTGGGGGTTATGATTACAGAGATTTGCTAAGTTGTAGACACATTGGGTATGGAAATGAGGTATAAAACTGAGTTACAGTAGGAGCTACCTCAATCTTATCGAGATGTTGTTCGTGGGAGTTGGAGCACTGTTCTTTTTAGCTGCCGTTTTGGGTGATTCCCTGGATGTGTGCCTGAAGGATCTGGGCTGCCTGCGAGGGACTCATATGCCAGGATATCAGAAAGGAGAGTTTGAAGCCTTTTTGGGAATTCCCTTTGCCCAGCCGCCAGTAGGACCACTTCGTCTTAAGGTGGATAGCTATGTCACTTTCAAGAGGACCTAATCCATTGATTGTTTCTCAGAATCCTGTGCCGGCTGAGGCCTGGGAGGGAGTACTCGATGCTGGATCGGCAAAGGACGGCTGTTTGCAGAGAAACTACTTTTCAAACAATAGGGATGTGAGGGGAGTGGAAGACTGTCTCTACCTGAACGTCTATAGACCCAAGGTAACAGGATTTTTAATCCACTTAAACCCACATATCCTGATCTATTGGTTTACCATAGCAACGAGATGGAAATCCCCTGCCTGTAATGTTCTACATACATGGTGGTGGTTTCTTTAGCGGCACTGCCCATCCAGTGGCTAGTGGACCTGAGTATTTAATGGATACGGAGAAGGTGATCATGGTAACCGTTGGCTATCGCCTAGGACCTTTTGGTTGGTATTACGTATTGTAATAATTATTAGGTACATCTAACCTTGAGATAATATTTTCTAGGTTTTCTTAGCACTGGCGATGAGAATATGCCGGGAAATTTCGGATTAAAGGATCAGCGGTTGGCTCTGCAGTGGGTTCAGCAGCATATAGCTGAATTTGGAGGAGATCCTCAGATGGTCACGATCCTTGGACACAGTGCAGGAGGAATATCTGTACACCTGCACATGCTTAGTCCTAGTTCAAAGGGTATTTGATTTTAATTGTTCATGAATTTCTTATTTTACATATTCTCTTCAACCAGGACTCTTCCAAAAAGCCATGTCTTTGACGGGCACAATGTTTATTCCAGCCATGCACATCCTTGAGGATCCTTTAAGTCAAGTTAGACAGCTGGCCAAGGAGATTGGTATCGATCAGGCAGAGAGTCTAAGTACCCAGGATCTAGCACAAGCACTTCGCGATGTAGATCCCATGAAGCTGCTCCTCAGTGTGGATAGTTTCAAGACCTATGATAACCTGCCCCTCATCAGCACGCAACCAGTTTTGGAGGCAGCATCTCCTGAAGCCTTCTTGGTGGAAGATCCGCTAAAGGCCCATCGCGAGGGTCGTATCAACCAGGTGCCCTGGGTAGTCAGCCTCAATTCTCGAGCTGGAGAGGGAGCCTTGACCTTGTTGCGCTCCTTCACGTGCCCAAAACGTATGGCAGCCTTCAATGAAAAGTTCCTGGAACACCTGGCCTTGGTGCTCAATCTTCCCCAGGGAACTCCTCCACAAAAGGTCAGGGAAATACTGGATGCATACGGTTTTCAGGGGGAGACCCTGAACAACGATACAATGTTGACTTTGGCCGAAATCGCTGGTGATTTCAACTTTTTCTTTCCGATCTACGAAACAATTTCTTCTTATGCCAGCTATGCCAATCTTGAAGAGAACCCACTATCCATCTATATCTTTGAGTTTACCGGTCTGCACTCAATATCACTTATGTTCGGTGCTTCCCCCGAGGATTTCGGCTTGGGAGGAGCTCACATGGATGATGGTCTGCACACCATAAGATTGCCGATTCTCGTAGAGGATTTTCCCAAGGACTCTGTAGATGCCAAGGTTGTCCAAAGGATGACTTCGCTTATAACGGACTTTGCTAAAACAGGGTGAGTTTGTGATGAAAAACTCAGATAGTTTTCGTATTACTTTTTTTATCCACATAGTGTCTTCCATGAGGGATCCATCTGTAAGGCTTCCGATTTCAAAGATCAAGGAATGTGCAGCTACTTACATTTTGGTGGCACCACTGAAAAATACGAAGAAGATGTTCGCCAAAGTCTGGAGCTTACTTACTTTCCCATATGGAAGAAATTATTTATGTAAAGAGATACTACAATCCGATTCCATCTGCTAAGGGGTAATTTAAGAGTGAGTTACTGATAAATAAATCACATTAATTTGCGAAATGGAACGGATCTTGTAATGGGAGCTGTTGAAGATACCCCAGATTTCCATTCAGGCATTGTAAGTTGAGCTCCGGCTGCGTTCCATTTTTGTAAAAGACTGCAGCCCATCTCCCATCCCAGTTGTCATTCGAAGGTCAATTTACATATGCAGAATGTGCAAGAAACGAGATTAAGTGCGAATAAAAGACCGGGCGACATGCGGTGCGATAAGATAGCCGTCGATCCGGGGAGCAATAAATCTCGCCCGATAGGGGAAACATCTTGTTTGGAGAGTTTTTTCGTAATTCTACGATATACGATCTTCAGATCAGCAGCACGATAAGTGAGAGTGAAAAGCGTGACGTTTTATAAGAAGGATAGAAACGAAAGTGAGGGGTGCAAAGATCACTGGTTTAGTGTTTGGAATACATACTAAAGTTAGAGATATCTGTGATTATATAGATCACAGAACACAGATCACAAAGATCGCAGGTTTAGATTGTTTGGAAAGCATAATAAAGTTTGAGATACCAACACTAACAAAGATAGTAGAAAAATGGTTTTGTTGGAAGAAACCAAATGATAAGAGACTACATGATTACTTCACCATTAGACACAACTTAAATAGACATGATTAATGTAGCAGGTGTGATTTTATTTGCAAAGTTATATCAGTTTAGTGATCTTATCAGAAAGACATAAGACATGATCTTATGACATAAGATGAGCTTCTTTGAATATAGTTAGTAAATGATAAATCTTCTGATCGTTTATATATGTTCGTTGCTCTGGAGACTTTATGTAAGAATGCATTGAAAGCGAATTTGCATGGTGAGACAGGATAAAAGCGAAAGTTTCGACACGAAGCGATCTCAGTTGATCGCAAGTCTTCAACTTTGGCGCATCAGCCTCGATTCCCCGTTCACCGGGAAACACTTTCTACTCGTTCTGGCGCGTGTTTTAAATTACCCCAACCAGATTCAGATACAGATTCAGATACGGTTTGCATCTGAGGTCGCTGCTAGATGCTAGATGCTAGATGCTAGATGCAGTTCCAGATCAATTGGTATCCGCACTGATCAAGCATACGCCGTGTGAACCGATCTCCAGCTCGCCGATCGTGCTGCTCTGTATAAATTTTCCACAGCGAGTTCGGTCACTTTGCAAAGATTGTGGGCAGAGAGCTAATACTATAGCTATATAGAGTCGGTCTCTGGGGCAGAGCAAAGTTTTCTTCACGATTAAAGTGAACGTGCGCCCTCGAAAGTCGTCAGATCGATTTGGGCCTCTGTCGCGTAAGGTTCTTCAAGAGATTTTCCAAACCCAGCACCAGTAAAAGTAAGTGAGCTTTTCCTTGGGCAAAAGGAGCTGCTGACCATTTAGAAAAGCATCCAAAGACCGATTTAACGTTGACATCATCTTGGGCGAATTGGAATGGGAAGCACCAAAATTGATCATAAATAACCCATCGATATGCATAATTAACGATCATCCATTAGCTCTGCTTTCAGTAACTTCGCGGACCACCGGCGATGATTCAACTACTGCTGCTGCCGCTACTTCTTGGCCAGATGTGCGCGGCTTTGACCACGGTGGACCAGCCGGTCACCGTGTGCCCGCCCAGCGTGGGCTGCCTGAAGGGCACCTATCGCCGGGGCTATCAGTCCGAGAGATTCGAGGCCTTCATGGGCATTCCCTATGCCCTGCCGCCCGTGGGAGATCTGAGATTCAGTGTGAGTAGTCCAGATAAGTTTGATAGGAAAATCCCTTTAAGGGCATGGATTATCCTCTTCTCTAGAATCCCAAGGTGATGCCCAAGCTGCTGGGGCTATACGATGCCAGTGAGCCCAAGATGGACTGCATCCAGAAGAACTATCTTTTGCCCACTCCTGTCATCTACGGCGAGGAGGATTGCTTGTACTTGAATGTCTACAGACCAGAGGTAAGAAACTTCAAAAGTTATTATAAAGATTTTGTAAGCTCCTAGTTAATGGGTTGTTTTTTTTTAGGTCAGAGACTCACCTTTACCCGTTATGGTCTATATCCATGGCGGCGGATTCTTTGGTGGCTCTGCAGGACCGGGAGTTACAGGACCTGAGTACTTTATGGACTCGGGTGAAGTTATTCTGGTGACCATGGCCTATCGACTAGGGCCTTTCGGTGAGTTCAAGTTAGTTGATTATGGGCCAATTTCTGAATGTGATTTTAACTTTTCTCATTAAAGTAAATTGCTCTTGTGGAAAATTATAGTTTCTCAGTATAATGTTAGGTTCTACGTGAATTAAAACTCTTCTCAAGTGATAAGAAACTTTCTAAAGATTTGTCTATTCTAAAAATCGAATTTGTCTTTCTAAACAATTTAAATTCATGTTAACTCTTCCTAAAAAACGATAACCCTAACGACATAAAGAAATCATTTCTCAGATTTTAATTTGTAATGTTCTTCTTTTTGACTTACCCATAGGATTCCTCTCCACCCAGGATGCTGTGATGCCAGGCAACTTTGGCCTCAAGGATCAGAACCTGGCCCTGCGTTGGGTGCAGCGCAACATTCGCTCCTTTGGCGGAGATCCCCAGCAAGTGACCATTTTTGGCCAGAGTGCCGGCGGAGTGGCTGCCCACATGCACCTACTGAGTCCCAGATCCCAGGGACTTTTCCACCGGGTGATCAGCATGAGCGGCACGGCCAATGTGCCCTTCGCCATTGCGGATGAGCCACTGGAGCAGACTCGTCTCCTGGCGGAGTTTTCCCAAATTCCAGATGCACGAAATTTGAGTACGGTGAAGTTGGCAAAAGCCTTGCGACGTTTGGAAGCCACAAAACTCTTGGATGCCGGGGACAATCTTAAATTTTGGGATGTGGATCACATGACCAATTTCCGACCCGTGGTAGAGAAGGGTTTGGAGGCTGAGGCCTTTCTCAGTGAGCATCCTAAGGATATCATGGCTCGGGGCGAACGAGCACCCATTCCCCTGCTTTTGGGCACAGTTCCTGGCGAGGGTGCCGTTCGGGTGGTCAATATCCTGGGCAACGCGACTCTCCGCCAGAGCTTCAACTCCCGATTCGACGAACTGCTGCAGGAGCTGATGGAGTTCCCGCCCAACTTCAGCCAGGAGCGACTCAACAAAAGCATGAAACTCCTCGTGAGGGAGTACTTCCAGGATCAGCATGAAGTCAACGAGGAGACTGTTCAAGGATTCATGGATGTAAGTTCAATTCGTTAAAGTATATATATGTTCAGCTTAGCGATCTAACTTTATAGTAACTGATCAGGATAACTACATTTTATTGTATGAAAATCACTCAGTTATTTGTTATGACACTGGCTTTATTTTCGACTATCCTACTAAATGTGTTCTAAAAAGTTACCTATAGCATATCTGTATTTAAATTCATAAAATGTTTTTGGGGTGCAGACCATTTTTATTCTAGATTTTCAAGACATTTTAAAATAAATCGTGCCAGTAAATCGAATTTTAAGCAAGTGTCATAAAGCTATAAATAATCTTTGATTTATTCAGCTGTTCTATGGTATATCTCAATATTTACTTAAGATTTTATTATAAGCATATCTTAAATTTCTTATATAATCCCATTTAAAACAGTAGTTTTTATGCAAAATCCCAGGATTATCTATTATACTACATATCCTCTCCTTTTATTTATAAAACTCTTCTTACTTCATAGTTAATTTCAGATAGGGGCTTTAAGCAACCCCTGTACAACACAATTCGAAAGGATGTCTGTCATACCCCCAATCCCATTTACTTATATAGCTTCAACTATCGGGGACCTCTGAGCTATGCCTCTGCGTACACTTCCGCCAATGTTACTGGGAAATATGGGGTTGTTCACTGTGATGATCTTCTCTATCTGTTCCGTAGTCCCCTAATTTTCCCGGACTTTGAAAAGAACTCTACGGAGGCAAAGGTAATCCACTCATTTGTGGATTATTTCATACAATTTGCCAAGTTTGGGTGAGTACACTTATATGATAAATGGAACGTGTGATGAGTATTATAAATGAATCCCTTATTTTCGTAGAAAACCTAGGAATGCCGAGTCACTGACCCCTTGTTCCATAGAGGCGCTTCAGTCACGTCCCAACGGGATATGCGATTACCAGGAATTCGCCAATGGGGCAGGTCCCTCCAAGGTTTTTGAGGTTTACGTGGCTAGCGAATTCCAAACGGACAGGGTGAAGCTCTGGTCCCATATACTCAATGAAAAGTCGACTGAATCTTAAACCTAAGTCACTTATAATACAATGTATATAAAATGTTCGCTACTAAAAAAAGACTAGAGTATAAGAATAAATTATGCTGTTATAAGAAAATAATACCAAATATAAGAGTTTGGATAAAAAAGTATAAACGCTTTGATATAGAAGTATTAAGAATACTTATACTTTATAAAACATATGTTTTATGATTGTATTTAATTTTAATATTATACGTAGGATTTGTCTAAGCAAAAACAATACCTAAATAAATATCCGAAGGGTAAGGCTTACATAAGTCGTAAAAGAAAATTACCCTAAATATTTATATGGTTGTTTGTCTCGCCTTCCTATTTCCAACTGTGCCAAACTTGATAAGCCATAAACTGAATTTGCAACACGTGGATTGTATCTATATGACGGCATTCTAAAAATGTTTGAATGGCACAAGGGGAAATGGATGCAGAACGTGTGTAATTAAAGCAGGTTTCGCCGGCAAATTAAGTATACGACGCGTGGCGGCAATGAGAAATATGATCGGAGTTCTTCATCGCTAGATGGATTGCAATAGTAAATGAGTTGATTATTTATAGTCTATGCAAGTGACTGCCAGCTATCTTGGAATCTTGTGAGTATTGAGTAATCTACATATTAGCTAATGACCAGATACATTTGCATACTGCATTTCCTGTGACGTAGGTTTTCCATTCATTATTTATAGAACATTCAAATCATCTAAAGTTATGGGGCAAAAAGTGCAATGAACCTAGGTGACTGGCAAATTGGGTTAGCACATGCGAGTTCCTGGATTTGTGTCACCCTCGAGCGCAATTAAAATCAATAGAGCGTGGCGAAATCAGTCAGGTTTATGACAGGACATTCCCGCAGGACACTGGTCAGTTGTATTTGTTGCTGTCGCGTGGAAAGTTCAGCCATGGAGCTGCGCCGGAAAATCGCTTGGCGAATTCTGCCCCTCTTCCTGTTTGCTTTTCTGCTAACGGTGGGCGAGGCCTATCTGAAGAGTGTCCGGGTGGAGGAGATACCCTTTGCAGGGAGGAAGGTCCAGGTCCTGACCAGTCGTCGGTCCAGCGGCATTCATCTCATCTCCAGTCTGGAGCATCAGCGCACTTTTCTGCACCTATTTCATGTGCCCTGTGAGTTTGTTAACCTGTTTCGAAACCGAAAGTGATCGTTTATTACCAGGCCCTATATCATTTTAAAACAATTTCCTAACTGTACGAAATAATCACCTACAAATTCAAAACATATTTTACGAAAAAATCCATATATATATGTACATTAGGGTGGACTTTTTAAGGTCAAATGAACTCAAAATCTGAAATGGTAGTTTTCTTTACCAAATAAATACCTCCAAAACAAAATAATTTTATTTTAAAGTTTAGGCGGTGCGCAAAGGTTTCAAACTTTCAATAAAAATGACTCACACAACACAACAAATGATTCTTCCTATCCTTAGTTTAAGTTAAAAACCAAGACTACGAATATATAGTATGCCTAATAACCTTAAAACCATTGCGCACCGTCTAAAACTAATTTGCATTAAGAATACCATATGGAAATATTTAATGGGGTGAGAGTATGATCTTAAAAATTTCTTTTAAAAAAAGTCCGCCCTGATGTACATACCTCAGCCAATATTGTGGACTATTTTTCTAAAAAAGCGTTCACTTATATCTCATTATTTCAAATATTTAGGTAATTAGGCAAAAATTATTTATTTAATTTCAAAGGATTTTTGTTTTGGGCATAAGAAAGCACATTGCTAAGCTTGATATTTTTTGTTTTCTATTTTATTTATATATTATTAATAGCTCATAAAAATACTCCTTAGCGAAATGCGATTTTATTTAAAAAAATGTAGGGCGAGTGGGTCTTTTGTAATAGTAAAATGCGTTATGCCTAAAAGTATGCAATACTTTTTATAGAGTACCCTTATCAAGTATTTCGACTAAAGACAATTTTGTATATAAAAGTATTTATTCTACTTCTGGAAAACCTATAGTATGGTTTTTCCATATAATACTTATAATTATTTTTAAAATTTAATCATGGCTCATAACATTACGAATTATTTATAACTAATTTTGTAAATTGTAGACATCATTTGCTTCTACGCCGCCAAAGGAAAGTGGCCGTATGTGCCGGGGTTTATGAAGTACCGCGTTGACAATGCGGCTCGCAGTTTTTTCCACCAAAACGACAGTTTTATCAAACAATTTTGCACCAAGTGGATTCAGGTCAAGGAGTGCTTTCGACCCCTATTCGGTGGGTACAAAATGGGGGAGCCAAAAATAGGTTCACTGACAACCGAACCCCTTTTCAGACAAATCAAATACCACCACAGATGTGGAGGTGGAGACACTGAATGCCAAGTTTCAGGGACAGAGGGGGCAGACTTGCAACTGCGACAAGCTCCTCTCAACAGAGCCACCTGTGCCGGTCGTCTACTTCGATAAGAACTATATTGGAAACGTGAGTTCGGAGACCATTTTGACCACCATTGAGTTTCTGGAGAGTTTCCTGCCACCACCCACTAAAAAGCACAAGCGCAAGAATCGCGTGCGTGGACGCCTGGATGATATGGATATTGAGTAGAAATCAAACCTTAACTGTTTTTACTTTCTGCACAGCCTTTTTAATTAAAACCAAATCTTGACACCCGAAAGTTTCCATTCGAGTTTGAATTCAAATTGGGTCCATGCCAAAATTCCCTCTTTCAAAAAGATAATTTGAATTCTAACGGTGGCTGTTAGAAAACGTTACACTTTAACATTTCTGTTAAAAGCTGACCTGTGTGACCCTCCGCCGACCGCTGCGAAATGTGGAAAATAAAAATACCCCGGTATGGTCTGTCTTCAATTTCAGGGGCCGTATTTAAGCGGTCGTCTCGCGGTCACACTTATTTCTCGATTCCAATTGGAAGCAAGTGCGTTCGCGTCGCGGAAAATCAAGAAAAGAAAATAGAAGAGAAGCACTGCAAATGCATTGTTATTTTTAAAGTACAACCGCGATTAGAAGGGCTCAAGGAACAGGTGTTTGTCGACCACTTGACTGGCCATAAACCATACATCAGCGAGAGTTATCCAAGAAAGGCTAAAAACTGTGCCAACACAGGCAAATTCTCTTACATTCGCTGTCGTTTCCCTGTGTGCGTGCGGGTGTGCGTGTGTGTGTGTGCGAAAGAGCGTGTGCAAATATAAGTTTTGCCGCGTTGTCTGATCAGCAGCGAATTTCAAGCCAAAAGAAGAGAGACAGAGAGAAAGGAGAGGAGCGGATCGGGTGAATGTCGCTAAAACACCAGAAGACATCCTACCAACCGCTCGGAACGGCGGCTGCCATGGACAACCCGGCGATGACCCAGAGCGGGAGCAGTGGGGGCAGTCGGAGCAGCCGGGAGGGGCTTTCCGAGACCCACTCGTCACAACAGCTGCTCAGCTCTGACCCCAACAGCATGGAGATTCCGAGCATCCCCATCCCCGCCGCCGTGCCCTCGCGCCTGACCTCCGTGGGCAGGTCACAGTGGTTCACCGTCATCGTTCTCTGCTTCGTCAACCTCATCAACTACATGGACCGCTTCACGATCGCAGGTGAGTTTGGTTGCCCTAGCTCCTCCAGAAAGATCCATAGGACCCACCCATGTCGAACTATATCAGTGTATCCCCCTAAAATTTGCTATCTAACCACGTAAAGCGGGGTTTTCTTTCCGCACCAGATAACCCAATTTGTTGACATTATAAAAGATATTTGCTGACGAGGGGGAAAAGCCTACTAACCAAACAAATTTTTATAAGCTTATAGAGTTGTCTTTCCAATCAACTCTTATATCCTTATAAAAAGTTTAAAAACACCAACTATTTAGGTTCAACCCAAAACAAAGTAATTTTTGTACACCAATAACTAAAAATATATTAAAACAAGAAAGGGAGCTATACCATTTAGCATTGTGTTTATTTTTATTTACTAAAAACTAATTACAGAAACTTAAAGATAATGTTCCATTTCAATTTACTACCGTATATGTTTAGCGTTCTCTCTTGTTTTTACAAAAAAAAACTATTACAACAAGAAAAACGCCATTAAAAAAATGAATAATAGAATTAGTAATAATAATATCGTTTTCTAAACATTAATTTCTAAGCAAACTTTGATTATTCATATATCTAAATTTTATAAACAATAATGTATAGTTTTATTGTATGGTTTTATGAAAAATCTTTAAAAGTATTCGCTGTTGTTATTATTTTAGAATACCTCTAATCAGTTATAAATAGTTGTTGTGATTAAGTTACTAGAAAATTTCAACTCATCGTCATCAAGAGGCTTTGTTGTTTACAAAATGTACCATAAAGATTGTATTTGAATTGTATTTGAATTTTCGTAGTGACTAACCAGCTTACAAATGAATCACGCCATCCGAAAATATTGAAACAGACACGCTTTTTATCGTTTACTAATGCGACGATAAATGGATCCCAACTCGGGACCTTTCCACTGGGTGGCAATCAATCAAGGCCCATTTCGCATATATAGTATTCCTAGCACTAGGGTGCGATAAAAAAGAAAGAGTGGGGAGACTTTATACGATGGCACCTGACCTGGTGCCTGGTGAGCAGCTTAGCACGATGGGTGATCGCCGATCGGTGATCAGAAAGTCCCCGCCCGCGTGACAATTACTGGGTAATCGCATGTTGAGGCCTATAAATAAACTCCGACACACTACCCACATATCATTAGGGTTTATTATTAAAGACGTTAGCGATGAAGCGTCTCTTAATTCATGGGGTTCTTCAAGTATGCGGGCGGTTTTCAATTAGACACTTGTTTATATATCTGAAATATCTCTTATTACTGACATTCTTTTCCTTGTTTACTGTTGTCTGGAAATGGAGTACTACGAGTGTCTGGTTGTATCACATTCAGGGGTTACACAAAAAGAGCCGAGTGTAAGTTAAATGGAAACTTGTTTAACGACTGCAGTTACATGCCTCAACAAGTTTTGACTTAAAGTGGCTACTGCTTACACAAGCCCACTGCAAACCGTTTAATTTGCATGTCTAAATCATTAGAGATAATAACTATAATTTTCCGTTTTCACAGTCTTTGTGAACCTGAACTTGCAGTTCTTCCGTCGAGCCAGCAAAGAATTTTTCCACTCAAGGGCAAATGATAATGTCTTATATATAATATAACATAATTTGCAATGATTATTAACTCGCTATCAGTTTTGTCAGCTGATGGCAATTAGAAATCGATTTTACACCCCTACTCTTTAAGCCACAAATCATAAGCCAAAGCCCATGATGATGATGATTTGTGTAATTTCAGTCAAAAAGTGACTAAAAACATCATACGACTTTTAATCAGACAGGAAACGGAATTACTCACAGGAAAAGGGTTGATAACATTTACATATATGAACGTAAACATACCAAACCGACAGCTCGTCGTCCATCAATAACACTGCTTATGAGCATTATATTCAATTAAATTTCACTCTGCACTGAATTTTTCAAAATTTCCATTGTTTTGGAATGAATCTTGTGTTTATTTTGAGACTAATGGAAGCGCAAGGCGAAATAAAAACTAAAATAAACATTGGCCAGCCACTCAAGGTTTTTGTTTTGCCATTTTCCAGTGGCATTGTTATCAGACCCCCCTTAAAACGGACCCCCCTTTTGGGCCCTATCAAAAAGTGGCTGAAACCAGAGCGCTCTGAACAGTAAACTGCATTGGATCACAGGTGCCAGCACGTGGAGTTGACAATGGGTTTCGGCCATTTTGCAGTGATTAGATTGTATTGCCATTATTTGTTTTGCTTTTGTTGGTCTGCCCTTTTTTTTCACGGGAATTACGACACCAAAGCCACGTTTCGGGTTACACTCTTATACATATATGTATTTTATTCCGCATATATAGAGACTGTCGGCGAATCACCCGATGTCTGGCCCACCTAATGGAATGCATTTAATTATAATTTTAAGTGCGTCTTGGCCTTTGGCGTCGACCTCCGACTTTGCTGAATTTTGCCAGAGTTTTCGAGCTAATACTACCGATGGTAGGGTAGTGATATTATACGTACACCCAAAAAAAAAAAACAGAAAGTTAAGTTTTAATACCAGAGGCAGTATTAAAGAATCTAGAACTTGGATTTGTGGTACAATGTCTAACCACTTAATACTCATCTTGTAGACGCCAAATCGATACACAATAGTGTATAATTAATGTAACAATAGTTGCTTTACTAAGTCTATTTTTTTTCGGTATAGACAGTACATATGTACTGAGTTTTTTGGGCCCTCTTCATTCATGATCATTGTCCAAGCTGTTTTGCTCTGTTGTTGACAGTAAATTCGCTTTCTGCATCGCCAGCAGCGAACTTTGATCGGCCAAAGCTCTGTCAGTTATTTTGGTCAACAGATATAGATATGTGGGCTGAATGAAGGCACAGATATCTATATAGGCAAGATTCCGTTCTGCTGTGCTTCCGACGTAATTTTCTTGGCCCACATCCAACGAAAGAGATCTGAATAATTGTCTATGTCAATTGATCGAAAACAGAATTTGGTTGCGAGTTTCATTAGGGTCTTACAAGATATGTTTTGGGTATTTCCTTAATTTTGTTTTGGTTTTTAAAACGATTTTGAAAGGTAATCACTTTTACTCTTGCCTAATGTTTGTTTGTCGATTTTTTGCGTATTTTGCATTTACCGAAAGTCGCTGAGTTTGCATTTTGATTCCCCTTAAAATGTTTTTTCATGAGATACAGTAAAACTTTCCATTTTGTTGCCATCACAGCTGAAGAAAGACATAACAATGAAAAGAAAATACAAAATAAAACAGCCTTGAAACACCGAAAAAGACAATACCCTTGGGAAATAAGATTGGATTTTTAGTACAAACTTTGATAAACGGTTAAAAATAATAACAAATATATATATACAATCGTTGTTACTCAAATAATTGAATTTATTTTGGTATTAGACCGCATTCAAGACTATTACTTATCACACCTAATGGTAATATTGCTTATGTACATATATCGCAAACTAGAGTAGCTCGAAAATGCGCATCTTAAGCTACATATGCATCTTTTTAGGTTTTTTGCTTTGCATATCTTTATAGCGATTGTGTTTGAGGTTTGTGCACATATTCACGTCAGTGGTTCTATTCCGCTGCTATATGTACATATGTCTGCATATACAAAAGTTTGCACATATATCTGGGTCAACGACCTACGCAAGTGCAGTGCACACTTTTTGCTCAAACAAATTGAATTAACAAGAGGAAAATGCTAAAGAAGAAGGAATTGTACCAGAGGTTGGGGTTGGGAATGTCTGGAGCTCGTTGGGTAACTCTTTTCCTTGGGCGCCGCCGCTTTCACAATTGATTTCCACCTGGCCAACGAAAAGAAAGTTTACTCTAAACAATTCGAGTGCTTCGCTAAGCATTCAAATGCATTCCAAGCGAAAGTCACAGCCTCAGTTTTTTGTTATATGTATGTTTTTTTTTTGGCTCCGATTCGTGGTCGAAATATCTGCCAGATATACGTTTAATCATCGTCCGATTTTAAAGCTTACGCTGCATATCGCGCGATTTTCAAGGCCGGCGTCACCAGTCACCAGACGCCACAGAACGAGAGAGATAATACGGGGAAAGAGAGCTATATAGACAACTTGAACCGAGAACAGTCACTTTCTGTCACAAACAACTTTTTCATTCATGGTAATGAGTGTGTCTCGTCCCGCCTTTGTTGTTGTGGGTTTTGCAGTTGCCTGGCTATAAATATTGGCTTTTTAAACGGATCAACGTTCTGGAGTTTACCCCGCTACAGTAGTGTGTTTGGATAGAGCTGTTCCTGTTTTAAATAGGTAAAAAATGTTTTAAAGTTTATTGGAAACTTTTATTTATCAGTTAGGGTTTAGAAAAAAAAGAAATTTTTACCATGACCTAAGATTTTGGTTATAAGAAAAGAAAAAGATCAAAGATCCTAACTAAAAACAGCAAAATCATCTACATTTTAGAGAAACTTACAGTCATGATGAAGCATTGGATATGATAATTACCACTTAACATGGTCTAAGTTCCAGAAAGTTTGACTTTGGAGAGCTGGTGTTACAGTGTTTTGATGTTATAGACAGTGTACCTACAATGTATTATCACCTACTTTTCTGAATCGCACTGTTGTGTTTAAAAGAGAACAAACTGAAGAGAGAAAATCAGGTGAGAGCCAAACAGGTTCTAAAACTCCGTCAACCGGCTAAAAAAAAAATAATATAAATACTAAAGTGTTTCATACGTCAAAGGAACTTCCATGGGGAAATGGGGTAGGGGAGGGGGGATGGGGGTAGGGTATCTGCGTAGTCATAGAAGCTTTGCTTTTGTTTTAGATAAGAATTCCCAAAAACAAATGGAATTCCTTGCGTGGATCCAGATTACTCGTTGAGTGTACGAGATAGCAGTATGTCATATAAGAAATATGTGTATAAGGAATGCCTCACCCAGACCAGCCCCACTCTTTCTCCCCTCTCCGCCTCTCTCACTCTCTTCAACCCACAATCGCAATGCAATAAACACACACACACTCACACACACAGACTTATCGCGTGGCGTCCTCCAACCGTTACGTCACTGGGCAAGTCAAACAAACGCGCTGATTGGTTGAAAAACATCGTACGATAAATTTCTCAAAAGCGAAATGAGCGAAAAGACCCAGAAAATGGAATAATTAAAAAGCAAAGGCTGATTCACTGCGGCAACGACTTCGTGCCACGTTTCGTGGGGGTTCGTGGAGCCTCGGCTCTCTCGTTTCGTCTCTCTTTCTTGCGCTCTCTCTTTTTTGGGGCCAACTTGTTGAGCTTTTTGTGTGTCATTGTTGTTGCTGCTGCATTTGCCGGCTTCTGATCTCAGTTATTCTCGCTCACTCTTTGTGCTCCACCACTCTCTCTCTCTCTGTTGTCTTGCTTTTACTGCACTCTCTCTTGGCCTTCCCCCCTCTCTTAGCTGATTTTTTGGGCCGTTGTTTATTTTTGGGTGCTCAAGCACTTTAAGTAGTTATTTCATTATATTATTTTTGTTTTTTTGGGCCATTCCCCAAAGGCCAATGTACGAAAAGAGAGATATAGACAAACAGGGGCTCAAAAGCGGTTTTATTTTCTAAACTTTTTTTGGAGCTGCATGTAGAATGTAGGAAGTAGCGTTAGATTGGCTAACAGTTATCGACCGAGGTCGTTTTGACCATTAATTCGCTGGTTGCACATCCGTTTGTTAATGAATTTTTAAATGCCTAGGTGAAGACGAAACGTGCAGGAAATACCTGAGAAAATGTGTGCGAAGGTGAGACAGCGATGATCAAAATTCAAGTCATGACACCGATTTGCATGGCGATGCAGCAGATTGACACTTTGATTATTGTTAAAATGTTATTATTTAAGAACTGATAAAAATATATTAAAACTGACCCAGATTGTGGCATCCATAATTATCGATTGCGAATATAACCACATTAACTGATAAAATATTTATCATACTTGAATAAATCGATCAATTGCAAATGTAATTATTACAGAACTGATAATACGATTAATAAAAGCATTACAATGCACTAGATAACGATTCCAAATGTATCCACTACATCTGATAAAAAGTGGGCGTTGTATCAACTACGATCTATTAAAGCTTTCCCTTCCAATTTCTCTTATCTTTTCGTCTATGCCCCTGTTTATTAGTTATCGATGGGTTAATTAATGGCCTTTGGGGGGAAAATATTATGACCCATAAACACACATACTATTTCCGGAATTTTCCCCTAATCATCATACCACAGAGGTGCTAATTATAGAGACAACTCTCCCTGAACTCAACAATTTGGGGCTTACGTAAAACACTCGAACAAAGCAGACCCGTATTAACGATTTATTTATTCGTCCAATTAACATCCCCTGCTGGGGATGGGCTGATATGTACAAACTACAATTCAGTATATCACACATCACGCGGATCCTCCTTACATATGTACATACCATTAATTACAAAGCAAAAACATTATAATATCATATGGTTTTTATTTATCTCTTTAGTTTCTGACATATCATTTTTGTAAAATGCATTTAAATATTACAAATATTTTGGAATGGTCAGGTCTTTTAGTTATACTTTCATAAAGTAAGAGTCAATGACACTTAAAGGGGTAGGGGTAATCATAATTTGTTAGGTGATAGAGCAATGATCCTAAAATAACTTTTTGATGATATATTAGCAAGAATCTCATCCTGAATTTTCCTTTCATTTCACAGGAGTACTGACAGATGTTCGAACTGACTTCAACATTGGAAATGACAGCGCTGGACTTCTGCAGACCGTATTCGTTATCTCGTATATGGTGTGCGCACCCGTCTTTGGATATCTGGGTGATCGCTACTCCCGCCCCTGGATAATGGCGGTGGGCGTGGCCCTGTGGAGCACCACCACCCTGCTGGGATCGTACATGGAGAGCTTTGGATGGTTCATCACCTTCCGGGCGCTGGTCGGGATCGGCGAGGCCTCGTACAGCACAATAGCGCCAACGATCATCTCGGATCTCTTCGTGCACGACATGCGGTCCAAGATGCTGGCATTGTTCTACTTTGCCATACCCGTGGGATCCGGTCTGGGGTGAGTGTGCGCAACTAAACACTGCCGGCCAATGTCCAGATCAATGATCTGTAAACAATCCGGGAGGAGGGGTCTTATCAAGGGTCTATGTCTGTGCCTCCGACTTTGTTGTCGCCTTATCAACAGCTGGCAACAGGCGATGGGGGCCAAAGTTTGAGGCTGGGGATGATCAGCAATCAGAAGGTCTCACTGGTGAAGCGTGAGAAGAGTCACGTGACTCTTCGGTAAATTGAAATTGATTTACTTTGGGAATGCTTTAATTCTATAATTGACGACTCTAATTGAATTAGAGTGCTGGGTCAATTGGGGGGGTTGATTGGAAATTATGCAACGCCCAATTGGCCGCCAATGCAATGCGGCTCCAGAGTCAACTGTCAATTTATCGAGATCAATCTTATTGATGACCTCTTCTTTATTTTTCCAGATACATTGTGGGATCCAAGACCGCTCACCTGGCCAACAACTGGCGCTGGGCCCTTAGGGTCACGCCCATTTTGGGCATCGTGGCCGTCCTGCTGATCGTGCTCATCAAGGATCCGGAACGTGGTCACAGCGAGGGATCGCACAATCTGGAGGCCACCACTTATAGACAGGACATCAAGGCTTTGGTCAAGAACCGCTCCTTCATGCTCTCCACGGCAGGATTCACATGTGTGGCCTTTGTGGCCGGAGCCCTGGCCTGGTGGGGACCTTCCTTCATCTATCTAGGCATGAAGATGCAGCCCGGCAACGAGAACATCGTCCAGGACGAGTAAGTGTGACAGCCCTTCTTGCCCCGAAAACCCCATTTTCACGATATTAACGGAGTTCTTACCATAACTAACTATTCGCTTGAGTTTTTAAAACCATTTGTTGGTATAAATTTGTGAAAATGGGGTTTGTACCGTCCCCCCTTTTGACCCCCACCCCGTTATCCCCCCGAATATGGAGCTGTGCGTCCTACAATGATTTCTGATCCGTCGTCAAGCATCTCGTACAAGTTTGGTCTGGTGGCCATGCTGGCGGGTCTCATCGGAGTTCCGCTGGGCTCCTTTCTTGCCCAGAGGCTGAGGGGCAACTACGAGAACTGTGATCCCTACATCTGTGCGGTGGGACTCTTCATCTCGGCTCCGATGGTATTTGCTGCTCTAGTGGTGCCGCAGACAAGCGAGAGCCTTTGCTTTTTCTTCGTATTCGTGGCCCAGGTGGCACTAAACCTGTGCTGGTCCATAGTGGCTGATATCCTACTGGTAAGATGTGGCTCTTCGGAAGAAGCAAGAAGCAGCAGCAAAAGCGCAGAAATCAAATAGCTAAAAGCCAGCCAGCCAGCCAACGTTGACATAATGGGGTTGCTCTATATTTAAGACCCCCAAAAATCTTGCCCTAACCCCCAAGCTCGTTTAATTGTTAATACCCGAAATGCACAAAAAAACCTAGTTAACCATTTGGAACTAAGATGGATAACTGGGTTTTTGAGAGCAGAAAGGGTCCTTAAGCTTTGGCATAACTAACCGAATGTACCCCGAAATTCCAAACCCTACCTACTAGTGTTGCGTTCAACTTTGGAGTCATCACAATGGTGGCGGGCCTGCTGGGCGTGCCCCTGGGCTCGTTCCTATCGCAGTACCTGGTAAAGCGTTATCCCACGGCGGATCCCATTATCTGCGCCTTTGGGCTGCTCCTGAGTGCTCCGCTGCTGACGGGCGCCTGCCTCCTGGTGAACAGTAATTCGGCGGGCACCTATGCGCTCATCTTTTTCGGGCAGTTAGCTTTAAATTTGAATTGGGCAATTGTTGCGGACATACTGCTGGTAAGCCAAGATCCACAAACTGGGAACGATATACAATGTATCCCGCCAATGCTTTTGTAATTTTGCACCCACGTATTGTTTGAATATCGTAACTGTAATTACACACAGTAAATCCTAGTTTAAGCATTAACTTTTTACTGTTATAATGAGTAACACACCCCGCACAACAAATCACACAAACACTTACACACAGCTTGAACACTTACAAAACGCTCTAACCAAATTTTATGTTGTCCTCACCCGCATCTTTCAATGGTGGTGGTCATCTGATACTCCATTTTGTGGTTGTCTTATTATTTTTGGGTGCGGTCTTCAGTTCAGTAAGCCCCAGAACTTAACGGCAGTCATAAGGAAAAGTCTTGTAAAGATCCCTTAACTTTAACTTATATCTTAACTGTCTTAAAGTTCTCAAACTTGATTATTTCATGCAATTCATTTTTATACCCCCTGGGATGAGAAACGTTCCTATTTTTTTTTGTAAATGTAATCAACTTGGAGTTTAATCTTCTCACTGTCACTTTCATCCCTCTACCCCAATATTTTGGGGGAAAGGGAGTGTCCAACCCCTGAAAACACTTGCAGCGTGCATATATTTCAGCACTCAACCCCCAGTGGATGTTGTACAATCTTATTAAGGCACCACAATCCCCCAAATTGCATTGCCAACCAACCCACGCTCCATTTGCAGCCCCTTCCATAAGACAATGTGTCGAAATTTCCGTAATCATATTGGATTCTTTCGCCTGGTTTTCTGATTTCGGGGGTTATCTCCCTGGCTAGTCACGTTTGTCCGTTTCGGGGAGATAAGTAATCATGTGATAAGGAAATTAAAAACCATAAATCATAAATTCTTCCTATCGCATTTAGTTAGGGTTCTGAACTAAACTTGAAAAATAATAATATAAACAAATCATCAACTGAATAACTTTCCTAAATGAATTTTAAAAAGGTCTCTATATATGATGTATTTCCATTAAGGTTATAACAACCCAGATTATGTCATAAAACAACCTTAACTGATTAAGTAACCTAGTTTGATAAAAGTGACCCAATTCAATTGCAAAGGTTTCTCTGAAGTCCACTAAGGGATATGATAAAATGAGCAATATTTCCAACTTGGATAAACCTTATGGATATAGTAAGTGATCCCATGAATGGACACTGAAATCTGTATAAACAGCTGATGTACGCAAACAAGATAATGGAAATGGCGCAACCACACACAGACGTAATTCCTTTCAAGAGATACGTACGTATTTCCTACGTAGGGTGGCCTGTTCTAAAATTGGCAGTACGTCAGGCCAGGCAATATACCTAAATATATAGATATAGAGGCATATAATTCCCCAACTCACGCCCCCTTTAATGCATTGCTCTGCTGTTTTTTCGTCGCCTCTACTTTTTTATTTACCACGCACTTGATTTGCGTGTGTTACTCTTTTTTGTTGCCATTTTGCCATTGCAAACTATTCCGTGACAGAAATAAACAATCGCATTTCGGTGGCCACCAACCCACCTGATTATCTAACCCTAAGAAAATAGAGACGATCGTCCCACCTTAATGGCGCTATATTAATTGCCGCCCCTGCGATAAGCAGCAGTGATTAGAAGAGATTGTCTTTATCAGAGAGTTTTGGTTTCGGTTCTTTAAGATGACCTTTACCTGATGTAATATCATAAATGCTTTGCGTAATATCTGCTTTTCGCTTTAGCTTTAGAGATCATACACATAAAAAACACACGGCTAAGCACACCCATTAAATCACCTTTAGTTATAACAGTAAAAACTTAATGTGGCCAACAGTTCAGTAGACAACAAATTGCCACATTCAATTTAAAGATCAATCCTCGAGTAATTAAAAAAAAAAAACTCAGTTCATGGGATACCTATTGTACCGCTATAAAGAGGGCTCACTGTTCCCAGGCAGGCTGGCCAACTGTTCCCACTTTATTGGACTCCAACCTGAGAACGCAATGCTAGATGGTTTTTCATTTCGGGGGACCTACTCTTTGTTCGTCCCCAAAATTCTCGAGTGGCTCCATCTTTGGCGAGCTTTTGGCGAATTTGAATCTGCTGATGGCACACCTACACATAGACACAAACTCACCCACACGCTTTAATCAACATTTTATTTGTATTTAATCAATTATGGAAATATTGGCTATGATGTAGAATACTTTCTGGATGGGTACTGTAAGGGTTTAACACCTGGGATCTCCCAAAAAACGAAAGTATCTACACCTTAACCGATAACTGAATTAATCGATAGTGTGTAGCTAAAGAATCGGTTGTGGCTTTTGATTTGTTCTGCTTTTTTGTTGTTGCTGTTGCTTTTGCACTTTAATCGTAGAAATTGGATAACACCAAGTTTTCTTTTGTTCCCGGTATACTATAGTATGTGGTGATTCCAACACGTCGTTCTACAGCCGAGGCCTTCCAGATCCTCATCTCACATGCGTTGGGCGATGCCGGCAGTCCTTATTTGGTGGGAGCGGTAAGTTATCTTGAGGTTCTTAAACCCAAAAAGGATAGTAACTAATGTATGGAACCCCTAGATCTCCGAGGCCATCATGAACCACCTGCACAAGAACCCCAGCGATTCTGGTCTGACGAACGAAATGCAGAGCATGTCCCAAGTGGCGGAGAACCCAATAAGTAATGTCACCACGGCGCTCATGGAAGCAACCACCAATATGATTGAAACAGTGCGCTCAGCCTCGCTTTCCGATGAAGTAAGTGGTATCCCCAAAAGATATAGATTATATAGTTTAATATCTGATTTTCCCTTTTCTAGTACACTGACCGGGAACAGTTTGAGGGATTGCAGTATGCCCTATTCTCCACCAGCTTTGTGGAGGTGCTGGGCGGTATATTCTTCATGATCACCGCCTGTTTTATCATCAAGGACAAGAACAATGCCACGCGAGGATTGCAAGGTAAGCACAACTAGGATCTTCTATCTCTTTATATAACTATCTATAACTTACTGATCGAAAAGTAACAGGAATACTGAGATCTTCTATCTCTTTATATATCTATCTATAACTTACTGATCAAAAAGTAACCGGAATTCTGAAGAATGATATTGGTTTATACAATTTAAACATATAGATTAAACATATAATATGTTTTGCTATAGCCTCTAATATGATCAGTTTTTATAATTAAAACAATAGTTTTTTTCCTTAAACGATTCCCCTTTGGCTCAATTGTTTCCCCATTGATCTTGGCAGGCGAACAGGAACCGCGATCGTCAGCTGCCTCGGCCAGTGGGCAAAAGGACGTTGAGTCCTGCCACTCAGACTGCCTGGTCATGTGCACTGACATCGCGCTGCGCGAACGCACGTGATAACGCGAATATGAAATCTTAAAGTGTGCCCTGGGCACCGAATGGTTTTTATTTTCGGCCTAGCTCCCGGTAGGTGGATTTCTCGAAATTCTGTTAACTCGTTCTGTTCTGCGTGCGTTCCATCGTTGCGTTCTACTAATCTCTCAGCAGTTACTTGACCCTAACCATACCCCGTTCTTCATGGCTTTCTGTGTGATTTGATCGGATTAGCAAGTATCTAATGTATGTTTATCCTTGAATCTTTCAGATGCCACCACTCAACAGCAGCAGCGGGAGCAGCGCGGTCAGATTGCCTAATACCAGCCGATCCTGGAGATAATGCTGCGCACTCATAGCTCCGATGGCATGCCGGGTGAACTGATACTGACTGAAAACCATCTATAATTTAAACTACGCTTACTCGCACCACGCACATCCCGCATCGGATCGTACTGGAAGCTAAGGGGGACACCCTGCGCCTGCGCTCAGTTCGGCTGACACAAGACCCCTGTGTTCATGTTCCTATTAGGAAGAAAAGGAAGGAAGTTTAGATCGGAAGGAAGGGCCACCATGCCAACGTTCAAGCACACTTCACTGATTTGTAGATATATATACAAACACTCACTCTCACAGGCACTCACCAAGTCATAACATTACACAGATCATTTTACTTGTAAACGGTATACACGTAGTCTTAGATAGGTCTAGCTCTGGTATTTTAGGCTAAATCAAAATTAGACAGAGTTTCATGCAGGGTTTCGCATTCGCAGAAGTGCTTCCTCAGTTTGGATAATGTAAATAGATATTATCTCAGGCATCGAGTGCGAAACGCCTGCAGTTTTGGATATTTGGATATAAATGTGTATGTATATTTTATATGAATTGTAAATATAAAGAAGCGCCGGGCCATTGTATAAGTGCGTAGACTATTTAATCAATTTAGTCTTACTCTGAAGTTAATTTTAACCATAGCATTAGTTAGTTGTGTAACAAATTGGAAGAAATGTGTGCACCCTCAACCATAACTGAATATTACAGCGTAACTATTTTAAGCCAAAATGGCATTAAGTCGAGTTTGTTTTTTGTTGACTGGCCCTAATCGACTGCTAACCTAACCGGAACGCAAATAAAAAGCGACATAAAGACTGCAAACAATCAAAAAATTGGTAGATCGATATTTGTCTAAAAATTAACTAAACTAATTGTTTAGCTACTAAGTATTTTCTGGGCAATAAATATACATTTCAGAAAAATTAAATTAGCGTCTTTTTGTTTAAATACAATTTTATGTGATTTGGTAGACGGATGCTAAGGGCTGTGAAGATATAAAATGATTCATTGGAGACTGAAGGTTCCATAGTGATTCCTAACCGGATGCCGTACTTCCTTAGATTATGGCAATCACTTATATTATCTTTAGAAAGTCAATGGGCGGGTTAAGGTCAAGTATATTCTTTATTTATTTATATTTCTGAAGTATTTCTGTTCCTCAAAATATAATCAATATATTTTATGGAGCCATATAAAAGATTTTTTTAACTACCATCTTAAAAAATTAATATCGTTATTTTCTATAATGTATTATTTATTTTTAAAGGACTACCAAAATCTATTGCATACTTTTTGGCCCACTTTTTAAACAAAAGTTATCGATAACTGGGAACAAGAAATCGAGAGAGCTTTTTGTGGGAAAAATGGCTCAAGCCAGGTGCAGCCACACTACTTTTTGGCTTTTTTTGGTGCCGACACTATTCTAAATTAATTTATTTGTTATTGTCGCTCCGTTTGGACTTGTTTGCCAGGTTAGCCGCGATGTCTATTTACGCCGACGTTCAGAAAGGACCCGCCATCGAGGTCTTCGCCTTGACACAGGCCTTCAAGGACGACAGCAATCCCAGCAAGGTCAATTTGTCGGTGGGCGGTAAGTGAAGAATTCAATTTCCCCCCCGGAAGAATGTTCATGTATACGTGTGCAGCAATGTGTGTTACTACTGGGTGTCTCTGTATGCGGCTCAATTTGCTATCATTTGTTAGTCGGCCCTCCCTTGCAGTTCGCCTCCCTCGACCACTCGCCCCCTGGAACGCCCGTTTCCGCCGACCACCCATCGGCCCACTCTGCTGGAGGTCATTTGGAAGTCAAAGTGGCATATTGTTTAGATTTTTCCGTCCTTTTTGCCGAGATTTCATGCATGCACAAGTGTGTGCTTTCCAATTAGGGTGGTCTTAATATATCATGTCAAGTAGGGTATGTAGATTTCAGAATACACTACCAAAGATAATAATGTAATATTTTTACCAGGCCTCTTTATAAGCATAACTTATCTAATTTTTTTGTTAGCTAAGGGTTATCAGTTTTTCCCAATAGATAAATACTATTATACCACTTTTGCCAGCCTTATCTAAGCTGATATTAATTATTTACATTTAGAAGTCCTCAAAACGTATCACAAAAAGGAAGATAATTTTGTAATATTAAATTGAAAGGATGTAATAATTAGATAAAAATGTATTATCCCTGTTCAACATTTTTCTTAAAACTTTAATGTTTAAATAGATACAACTGGAATAAGTTATTTAATATTCCAATACTTACATAGTACATATACCAAAAATCATTCATATTAGGGAATTTCTCTTGCGTCTTTCTTCGTCTCAATTCTTTTTGACGTCAGCTAAACCACAGTACATATATAGTTATAACATATGTGTATAGAAGATGATAAGCCTCTTCGCTGAGACTCTTGGCAGGTACTCTACAAACATCCAGCGGCAATCTGGTGACGGGTCGTCCTAGAGCAATGTTGCTGATTTGGACGGTCGCCATTTCACCTTTTCTATATTTATGAATGTTATTGCATAATTTGAATAACAATTCCCACCAGCAAACTTGTTGATTATTCTTTTTTGTTTTGTTAGCTGGTCTAAGAGTCATTAACCTTTGCTTCTCTGTTGATTTACACTAATGGGACTTGTTTCTATTGTAATATGAAGTTTCTGTTAAAAGTTTTTGTTTTGGTGCTATTCTTATTTATGTCAGACTCTAGGTTATAAATAAAACTGAGAGAACAATCCCTGATTCTGGTGGAATTATAAAGTTTTTATTGTAAATTAAAGCAGATGATCTGTTTACATGGTATAATTCTAACTCAAACAAAAAAGTTTGAACAATTATTAAATTTCCCTTTACTTCTAAAATTGCTATAATTTCTCAATTTTATTGTGCCAGTCGTTATGGCTTGTTTTTTATAGGCATTGTTTTCGCTTTTTTTTACAATGCTACAAAGTATAAATAACACCAGACCAATTCATTCAATTAGTTTCAAATAACCCGGCCACAGTATTTTTCAGTTGCGGCAATAAAGAAATGAATTGGCCTAGAAACAGCGCAGGAAACACTATCAGATTGCGTACAGCATTACGATTATTGATTAGGTCTGTTAAGTCCACCAAGATAAGAATTGATTACTGTACGGATTTCAGCACTTTGAACAATGTATTCCTTTTGACTATTGATAAATCAATGGACTTTCAATGAATCGTGTTACTCATGAGATCTATGATTTTGTTTATCCACAGCTTACAGGACAGATGCTGGAGTTCCTTGGGTTTTGCCTGTGGTGCGAAAAACCGAAATCTCCATTGCCAGCGATGAGGCTGTGAACCACGAGTATTTGCCAGTTACTGGTGAGTAAATAAGAGTAATCTATCAAAGCCGACAAAAAACTAGGAGGTCATATAAATACATTCATACAAATTCGAACATATGGTTCTAGAGATTTAAAATTTCTTTGAAAAGTTATCAAGAAGTTTGTTTATAAACACTTTTGAAGTTGCTTTCAAACCTTCAGCGATTTATGTGGCAAACCTGACTAAACTTCTTTCCAAAGATGAGATCAACCTTAGTATAATAAATATTAATAAATATTAAAAAATATTTTTTGTAATATTCCAGGACTCGATACGTTTACAAGTGCTGCCACGGAATTGGTGCTGGGTGCTGATTCCCCTGCCATCAAGGAGAATCGCGTAAGTTGAACACCATATAAATATAAAATCCATTTCTTATTCATTTTATATTCCTTTCAGGCCTTTGGAGTGCAGACCATCTCGGGCACAGGAGCCCTGCGTATTGCCGCTGATTTCCTGCACAGACAACTGAACCGCAACGTGGTTTACTACTCGAATCCCACATGGGAGAACCACCACAAGATCTTCTCCGATGTGGGCTTCACGACCCTGAAGTCGTACCGCTACTGGGACCAAAACAAGCGTCAGCTGGACTTCAAGAACATGGTGGCCGATCTGGACCAAGCCCCACCCGGTGCTGTGATCATCCTGCACGCCTGTGCCCACAATCCCACCGGTATTGACCCCACCCAGGAGCAGTGGATCGAGTTGGCTGATTTGTTTGAGAAGAAGAAGCTCTTCCCGTTGTTTGATTCCGCCTACCAGGGCTTTGCCAGTGGCGATCCGGATCGCGATGCCTGGGCCGTGAGGTACTTTGTGCAGCGTGGTTTTGAACTCTTCACCTGCCAGTCGTTCGCCAAGAACTTTGGCCTCTACTGCGAGCGTGCCGGCAACCTGACGGTGGTGCAACAGCATGGATCTACCAAAGCGGCTGTTCACTCCCAGCTGACGCTGCTCATCCGTGGCCAGTACTCGAATCCGCCCGCCTACGGTGCTCGCATTGTGTCGAAGGTTCTGAATACGCCGGAACTGCGTAAGGAGTGGATGGAGTCCATCCAGACCATGTCAAGCCGCATCCGCGAGATGCGCAAGGCGCTGCGCGACAAGCTAGTGGAGTTGGGAACGCCCGGCAACTGGGACCACATCGTCAACCAGATCGGCATGTTCTCGTACACGGGCCTTAACGAAAGCCAGGTGCGCGTTTTGATCAACGATTTCCACATCTACCTGCTGAAGACTGGTCGCATCAACATGTGTGGCCTGAACACGGGCAACATTGAGTACGTGGCCAAGGCGATCCATGCCGCGGTTACCGGAGCAAGTGCAGCTTGTCCCTGCGACAACAAATTGTAAACGTACCAATATTACCCGATCGATGGAGTGTGCAACGATTAGCTATATTATGAGTGGGAAGAACTCAATGTCAGATCGCAGATGTCTGCACAATTAGCATTTAAATCAAACCAACAGCAATTGCAATTACTAAACGTTTATACACGGCTTTTAGATGGATATATTATACACTTGAAATGGTCAAATCAGTATGGAAATTATGTCCCACATTGGATTGAATAGTTTATACAAATTGTGCACAACCGAGGGCCATCAAAGATTGGTTAAATAATGTTTAGTTTACCAAATCTTTATTGACTTGTGTGTAGAAATTAGTTACAACGACAATAACACTACTGAAGTATTTAAATAGTGGAAATGTGTTCATTTGGGTTAAGAGGGTAAAGGGAGGAATTTTCGGATAATTTTGTATATGAAGGTATTGTCAGATTTAAGATGTGCTTTATCATATCCTCTGCTAATAATTTAGATCACTTTTGAAAATAACCGCTTTAGCCGACTACTTTTTCAAGACCATCGATATATCGATTATCAGTCAGCTGTTTTCTGAACTTCCATCTTCAGAAGTTAAATGTAAATTTGTTGGGCAAAAAATTGTAAATACTCTTCAATTAAAACAGATTTTTCAATGGCAGGTGCGTTTTACCATAATAATAACTTTAATTTTCGACTCACAAGTGATAATTTTCCTCAGACGATCCAAACAAACCCTCCACCTCGGCGAAAGCGGACGAAGCCCCCCTGTTTCCTCCCGCCAAACCTGGAAAACGAGTGGACTATGGGACAAACAACACATTGGAGCTGCTGGAGCGGATTCCCAGCCAGGTGGTGGATCTCAAACTGGACGATGTCCTCACCGCCGTCAAGGAGGTGGACAACCTCTGCGACTATCCCCGCTGCAAGACCAAAACGAGCTTAATGGGCCAAGACTGTCAGCACTGCAAGAAGAGATTTTGCTTCAAGCACGGACTGCCCGAGGTTCACGGATGCGGCGAGGAGATAAAGCGGGACGAGCGGAAGAAGTTCCTGCACCCCAAGCCAGCGAAAACAATAAGGCAGGAGGAGGATGTCAAGAATGCCAAGAAGCGACTGGATGCCAAGCTAAAGGATATGCAACAAGGACGCACTCAAAAGGCCACTGGCGGGGGTTCCAAGAAGAAGAAGGGAAAATAGTAATATATTGGCTCAATTTAGTGTATTTGATATTTAGAAACCCAAGATGATGGTACTTTTTTCAAAGAATAGATCAAAATCCCAGTATCACAACTCTACTGGTAACTGTTACTTATTTGCAGACTAAAATAGGAAATGCATGTTATAATGAAAATTTAGATACTTTAAATAAGTATTTCATTAAATTTCCTCCCGGTGGTATTTATGCTTTGTAGTTAAAACTAACAGAAAACTTGTATTGCATACACTGAGCACAAAGATTACTAGTGGATATTATATTCCGAGTCAATCCAGAGGAAGTATAAATATTCATCACACTTTTAAGTTTTTCAAATGCTTGTATAAAACCAATATAATTATATATATACTATTTTAGAACCGTAAACAGTAATATCTTTTTTATGATTGTTTCTCCTCTAAGAGAATTATTGAACGTACTGCTTTTATATTAACATCTTACAAATGTCGTTTGGACAAAATTACAATAGAATTGCATTTCTGATCCGTCTTAATTATAATAAATACATATTTCAATACCAGTCAGAGACTAAAGATAATCCGTAAATTATTTTTATTAGGTAGAAAAATCCGTTTAAAAGCTACCCAAGACCAGGCCAATATGGCAACTCTGCGCGGCGTTGCCACGTGTCGCCGGACAGCTGTTGCCCATGAGCTGATGAAACTTTGCCGCATTGCAAGTGCAGAGCAGAGGAGCGTAGGAGATTGACTGTTTATACACACATACGTAGTACTACACAACTCAGAGACAATGTCGAAACGTGGGCAACCGGCGTGGCAAGCTCCCAAAGCGGCAGATCGGCCAAAACTTAAGCTATTCAACAGCCTCACCCGTCAGAAGGAGGAGTTCGTGCCGCTGGACGGAAATAATGTAACGTGGTATAGCTGCGGACCCACCGTCTACGATGCCTCCCACATGGGGCATGCCAGGTTGGTTATCTGGAGGCAGCCACATCAGCATTAGTATCTTATCTTTGCTTTCCCCTGCGCCCTCCACAGATCGTACATTTCGTTTGACATTCTGCGGCGGATTCTGGCCAACTACTTCGGCTACAACATTCACTATGTGATGAACATCACGGACATCGACGACAAGATCATCAGGCGGGCGCGGCAGAATCATCTCTTCGAGGAATATGCCAGGGAGGCAGCCAAGCTGCCCCTGGATCAGCTGCTAGGTCAGCAAAAGGAGGTGCTGCAGCTATTCCAGCAGACATGCGCTAAGAACACCGATCCCGACAAGAAGATCATGCTGGACAAGACCCTGCAGCGCATGAACGACGCCGTGGAGGCTCTGACCAAGGCGGTGGGCAAGGGAGTGGAACAGGAGATCGCTGATAAGCGACAGAACTACCTAATCGAGGCCAAGGACCCCATTTCAGATTGGTTGGACTCGCAGAAGGGCGCCCAGATCAACGATAATGCCGTGTTTGAGGCCCTTCCTCGCTACTGGGAAGACCAGTTCCACAATGATATGAAATCACTGAATGTGAGTCATCACTAACTTCCGAAAATGAATCACTCGCTAATTTTATATCTAACAGATTCTGCCGCCTGATGTTTTAACCCGGGTTTCGGAGTACGTGCCCCAGATCGTCACCTTCATCCAGAAGATCATCGACAATGGTTTGGCCTATGCAGCCAACAACTCCGTTTACTTCGATGTCAATGGCTTTGACAAGAGGGATAAACATCACTATGCCAAGTTGGTGCCGGAAGCATATGGTGACACCAAGTCACTGCAGGAGGGCGAGGGCGATCTGTCCGTGGCCGAGGATCGGCTCTCCGAGAAGCGTTCTGCCAACGACTTCGCTTTGTGGAAGGCTAGCAAGGCCGGCGAACCCTGGTGGGACAGTCCCTGGGGCAAGGGTCGTCCTGGCTGGCACATTGAATGCTCCGCCATGGCTTCGGATATCTTTGGTCCCAATTTCGATATACACACTGGCGGTGTGGACCTGAAGTTCCCCCATCATGACAACGAACTGGCCCAATCGGAGGCGGCTTTCAACGAGTCTGAGTGGGTCAAATACTTCCTGCACACGGGCCACCTCACCATCGCTGGCTGCAAAATGTCCAAGTCCCTGAAGAACTTTGTGACCATCCAGGAGGCCCTCAAGAAGCACTCCGCCACCCAGCTGCGACTGGCATTCCTGCTGCACTCGTGGAAGGACACGCTTGACTACTCAGAAAACACCATGGAGATGGCCACGCAATACGAGAAGTTCCTCAATGTAAGGCGGTGTAATCTTAGGTTTAAATTAGTCTTTGTTAAAAGTTTTTTCTTTGCAGGAGTTCTTCCTGAATGTCAAGGATCTGACGCGACACGTTCTTTCCGATGAGCCTCGAAAGCAGTTTGATGCCTGGACAGAGGTTGAGGCGGCCCTGCAGAAGAAGTTTGCCAGTTCCCAGGTTCAGGTGCATGCAGCTCTCTGTGGTATGTTATAGGAATATTCCTATGAAGATCTTTCCAAAGTAATCATACATCTATCCCGCAGATAACGTTGATACTCGCAGCGCCCTAGACGCCATTCGGGAGCTGGTCTCCGCCTCCAATGTCTACATTCGAGACAACAAGACCCGGCTTAACAGTCTACTGCTCCGCAATGTGGCCACCTACATTACGGATCTGCTGCATGTATTTGGCGCTATTTCCGGACCTCGCGGCGGCATTGGATTCCCCGTCAGCGGTGGCTCCGGATCCCAGGCAGCTGGTGCTGACCTGGAGACAACAGTGCTGCCTTATGTACAATCCCTTGCCGAGTTCCGTAATTTGGTGCGGGAGCAAGCTAAAACACTAAAGGCCCTCGACATTCTCAAGCTCTGCGACGATCTGCGGGACAATGTGCTGCCAAATTTGGGCGTGCGACTGGAAGACAAGGATGGCGGCAAGTATGCCGTCAAGCTGGTTGACCGAGACTCACTCTTAAGGGAGCGGGAGGCTAAGCTGGCCGCCGAGGCGGAGAAGGCAGCAGAAAAGAAGCGCAAGAAGCAGGCGGCTGCTGAAGCTGCGGCAGCCAAGGAAGCCCAGCGTCGCGTTAATCCCAAAGAAATGTTCCTCGGCGAAACGGAAAAGTACTCAGCATTCGACGAAAATGTAAGCCCAGCGATATTGGATCAACAAAACATATTTATTAATATTTAAATTTCTTTATAGGGCCTTCCCACTCTCGACAAGGAGGGCAAAGAAGTTAGTAAAGGGCAAATCAAGAAGCTGCAGAAACTCCAGCAGCAGCAGGAACAACGTTACAAAGAGTATTTGGCATCCATTAAAGAAGCCTAAAGCCTAAGATCAGAGCAACCATGTTTATGATATTAGCATAGCATTTAAACGATACAAAACCTTAATGCGCACCTTATAATTTACCATTTAGTTCAAGCAAGAGATTTCAGAGTTCCCAGCTTAAATCAGTCCATCTAATAAAACTTTTTCTACGATAAGATCAACTTTCTATATTTATTTACAGGCAAGTTCCAGTTTTCTAAATTATCGATTTGAAATCAAAATTAAGTCTACCCAATTGCTGCCAATATTACGACCTATAGCTAATCTTTTTGTTTTAAATAAATAATTTTCTACATGAAAAAGTCTTCAGAAAGGACCTATATCTAGTTAGTAATTTGACTAAAATATTTCTAACTATTCCGATAACAAATGAAGTTGAAAACTTTGAATTCTGAGTACCAATTAGAAGTCAAAAATATTGCGTGAAAAATAAAACCGGAACAGCCCCTATTAATCGCCTCTTTCACATTTCACATCTAAGCGAGATCCAGATATGATGGCAATAAGATATTCCTATGATATATTCGACTGCAACTAAAGTTTTCCATTAGAGGAGTTGAGCCCACAAGTCTTTGGTATATCTCCTACGGTTCCACTGGAATGTCATGTTCAGAGCTTAGGACTCTTATAAGCTACCAATGTCGTTGTAGCGCTTCAACTTGTCCGGGAAGTTGTCCCGGAACAACACCGGGTCCGCTCTAAACTCCACCGTGCGCAGCGGCATACGGCCGTAGATCTTGGAGAAGCGATCAATGCATGCTGACCGTTCCCGCATGTGATTCAGATCGGCGGAGAGCATTTCCGTATTGGTGCACTCGGGGCACTTAAACTTCTTTCGAGGGGTTACCTTTATGGGTGGATTGTTTGTGATGTTGGCCACCAGGAAGTTCATGGCAATGTCCTCGCAGTTCATGTGCTCATCCACCCAATCCTTAATGTCCCCGGGCATGGCATGTGTGTACATGTGGCTCCAGTACTTGTGATGGAAGGCAGCTCCGGTAAGTACCATGGATATCTGGTTCGTCCACTCCGATTCGTAGTGCCAGCGCATGGTGACATTGTCCCAGACATGAATGCGACTGGGAAAGCCGACTATGTGATCGGGGAACTCACGCCAGACCTCGTAGCTTTGAAAAGGTAGTTATTAGTCTACAAGCTTAAATTATTAAAAGTTCAATTTACCCAAAATCTAACTCATCTGTTGTCAGCATGATGATGTCGTCGTCTATGGTTAAAATAGCTTCCGTTTCGATTTCTGGATATGGATAGAATCGGTTGGAAAGCTTGTTCTCCTTGGTTTGACGAATTTTCAAGGGCTTCGATATAGATGGAAATGTGGACACTATTGGGATAAAGTAAGTCATTAATACTGTATTGTAATTGTATAATTTGAAAGTTCTTACAGTGCGGCGGAGACTTCTTCTGGTTGTTCCAAATCACCAAAATACTTTGCAACGAGGGCACCACAGCCAGCTTCTGGATCAGCAGAAAGAGACTCTCCACGCGATCGTAGGTGAGGATGACGGCGGTAAAACCCTGCGACTTTGGCGCCAGCGAAGGCAGGAAAAGGGGATTGAAGGTGGAACGGGCGTTGGTGTCAATGGCGTTCCACTGGCGACTGCTGCGTGCTCGCAGCGGAAAGATTCGACTCTCCAGCACCTCTAGAGCAGTCAGCGTGACGGTCTTCAGATCCTTGAAATACTTGGAGAACAGCCACTGAACTTGCTTTTGCATCTCAACGACTTTAACGCTGGATATCGTCTTTAGCTTCTGCACCACGGAATGCAGCTCGCTTTCGCGTATGCGAACGGAGGCCAGCGACCAATCGATCACATCCTCGAAGGGCATCACATAGTTATCCACGGCAATCACGGGAATGCAGTGCTGCGACATTATCTCCACCAGATCGGGCTGACCCAAGCGAAGACTGCGGGTTAGCAGGCAGAATTTGCCGCGTGACAGCAGTCTAGGATACTCCAGGGATTTGTGGTGCTGCGACAGGGGGCAACGCATGGCGAGATCGAAACCCTCGCAGGCTCCCAAAAGGAGTAGCTGCTCGCTGTGCGCCATGGCCAACTCCCGCAGGTTCCTCACGAAGCGAGGGAGGATATTCAGTTGGGCCACTATCAAAAGGAACTTCCTTTGGGCTGTGGCATGGGCATGTTGCCGCACCAGGCGCGGACTCCACACAGGAATGGCGACATCAAAGCCCTGTCGATACGACCAAGAGTCAAAGCCACCGCCAAAGATGATGGCATTGTCCGTATTCACATCCAGCACGGTGTTGTATGATGGAGCTCCGCCGGGCAGCATGTTAAAGATGATGTGGTTGGCTCCCCGGTCCCAGAAGTCCAGGGAAGCCAGAGCTGCACCTGCCAAGTGCTTGTCGAAGACATTCTGGTTGAGTAGATCCAGGCTGGGCAGGAAGAGGCACGCCTCATTCGGATTCGAGGTGTAGTAGCGACTCTTGAGTACCGCTTCGAGGATCTGGAAGTACTCGCTGGACAGCGTGGTGGCCACCTTGTCGGTCCGCTCGTCCACAAACTCCTGCAGCGGATAGATGTAGACCTTCAGGCGGTCGTGCTCGCACTTGTATATGTTCAGGCAGTCCCAAAAGGTGCAGTTGACGTTCCGGGCCCGCTGCTCGCCCTCGGGGTTCAGGGAGACCTCCTGAATGTGCTCCAGGTCCAGGATCAGTTTGTGCGAGTCCCTTTTCCCGTGGAAGAACCCATCGCGGGGACTGTTGGAGAGGTCCCACAGCAGGAAACCCGCGCAGAGGGCTACGATCACCAGAAGTCCATAGGTCAGGCAGTTCAGGATGTGCTCCCTGGGATTGGGGTGTGAAATGGCCCGTGACTGGGTCACAAAACTCATTAAATTCTTTATCTTGGTCATTTTATTGCAATTTTCACATCTTGTCCCGTCTAAAATAGTAGGACCGCAATGCGGTCGACTCAGAATGCTGAAATTGCCAGTGCTGGAAAGCGACCTTTGTCAGAAAACATTTAAAATTAGTACAAGATAAATTTTTTTTTTTAAGTATAATGTCAACGTAAGATTATAATCTATTTGTGGTGTATTATTATTGTCAATTACATCTAATTAAAAATATTTTTATAAAAAATGTTTCTATGCAAATGTATTAGATTAATCTCAATGGCATAAACCTATACACAAAAAGAGCTAAAGACTTTAGCCTAAAGTAGACCCACTGTGCAAGTTAGAGGTCTAAAATTTTTCGCTTTTTCCAACACTTTATAAGTTTTTATTTACAAAATCGGAAACAACAAATCAACAGCTGTGTTTTACCAAAGGGTATACATATTATATATGTATTTCTGTAATACTTGGAATTACTCCTTCGGCTTCAGCGTAACACCGAGCTTGGTGGCCTTGATGTCGCAGTTCGGGAGCTGCCTCTTTAGATTGGCGGCCACTGCCTCCATGTTCTTGACGAATATCATGTCGAAGATGACCAGTTGCCGCAAGTTTTCAAGCTCCCCGATGGCGGCAAGGCCGGAATCCGTGATGTTGTAGCAGCCGGAAACCTGCAGTCGCTCCAGTGAGCTGCTAATATGATGCAGTCCCTCCAGACCGTCGTTCTCCAAGTGCTTGCAATTGTGGAAAATGACGGTGTCGATGTTCTTACAGCCTTTCAAATGCTCCAGTCCTATTTTCATGATTGACGAATTGGAGGCGTCCACTACCTTAAGGCAAAACTGAGTATTTTCCCCAGGCAAGGAGTTATAATCCTTCCAAAGCTTTGTGGGATTCTCCACAAAGCGTACGCCGCCTCCGTTTTTCACAATCCATTCGGCACACAGGCGGTTCGGACCCACTTTTGCCAGCCGTTCGGCGTCCACCTGGTTAAAGGCGACGGCCACATAGCCCCAGATGCCTCTCTGATCCTTGGGATTACTCGTGAGCAGTTGTCCTATCCTGGGCAGCTTATTCAATAACAACATTTTCGGTGACTAACGGAACAGCTGTGGCCGTCCGTCGTAGTACAGCACTGTTTTGGGGGATGGGGATGCCACTTTGTCGATTTGGAAAGTTTTAAAACGTTTTTGAATGCAAACTTCATTTTGTTTACTTTTATTTTTGAACCCTATTATATGTGACAACTGTTGTATAGCCAACTTTACAAGGGGAGCAAAACGAGAAATAATCGGGGTATTCCCTTAACTTTTGTTGAATTGTGAGGGAACGGTAATAAAAATTTCCGAATGAATTTTTAAATGCCTATGACCAGTTATCATATTTTTCGGAAGTACAATTTATATTTTATTATCCTTATAAGTTTATTTTAATAAGGTAAAAATAACTTAAGTTATTAAAACTTAAACGAAAATGTATTTTTAATTATGAAATGAAAGAAACCGTTAAATCAAAAGCCGTTAAAATTAGAGTATTTTACAGCACTGGTAACAGAAGCGTTTTAGCATCAATCATGTAAAAAGTATAGAAATCTTGTAATAAAATTGAAATAATTTTTAAAAAGGTAATTTTAAAAATAGTCGTAGTTCTTTGATATTTATTTATTTATTTAATTTAAACAAAATCATTTATGGATGCTTTTATTAAAGATCAGTTAGTATATTTTTGCTTGGTTTATTTTAGGACATTTTCCATCGAGGTATTACCCAGCCCTCGATTCACGGTCACTCTGCATTTTCAATCAAATTTTCGGCCGTCGCAGGTCGTCGTGCGCGTTGTTGCTGCAATCAATTAGTTGAAAACAAGAACGGGGTAAATAACTTTGGTAAACGATCAAGAGCAAAGCGTGCACCGTACCTATGCACAGCTAATTCAAATCGGTCTAAGTGTCAATTGCAATCGCATCTGGATAATCCACAGAAGTTCTAACGCGCGACAGAGATAGCGATAGCGTGTGTGTGGAGCATAAAATCTCGGCAATAACAAAAAACATACATATGCTTGTGGTTACGATTGAAACGCAAACGAGCCTTTGTTGAATGCGCCTGATAAGTGAACAAATCGCGGGTTTAGAAAACAAAACTGTGGAGGCAGCAAACAAAATAGCAACAAATACCCCCCTGCTCCACCTCCACCCCCGTGGAAAATCACGCATTACGTGCACTGCACTGTTGTTGTCAATGGATGCGCGGCTGTGTGGGTGAGCGCGTGCGTGCGTGTGTGTGTGTGAGCTTGCCGCCACCGCAATTGAGGAAAAATTCACTCATACCAAGGCGGCAAATAAAAATAATCTCTGATTGTGTGCGTCAGCGTGTCGGTGTGCGGAGCAGTGACGTCGACGAGAATCGAACGTGTTAAAGTGACGAATAAACAAGAAGCGGGAATAGGAATAGGAATCGGCATCGGAATAGGCATCAACATCCACATCCACATCCACATCAACATCGGGAATCATCATCATCTCATCGCAAGAGATAGACAAACAGAACAGACAGCCAAACATTAGTACATTTCCCTCGCACATATGCCTTTGAATGTGTTGTGTATACACGAAGAATGTACGTAATAGTTTGCCGCCGCAGACATTAAGGCTCTCTATTCCGTCTCTGTCTCTCTCGCCGTTCCCGTCTCGCTCCCGCCCGCTTGCTTACACCAACGCCCACCTTCCCGCCCACTCTGAATAGGTGAGTGAATGCCGCATTCCGCCGCCTAATTAAGTTACAAATTGACTTTTGCCAAATTGTAGTGGAGGTTTTCCATGCGGGGTTCTATTCTCATTTACTATACTATAGTTTACTATATAAGAACTTTAAATTATTAAGATTTCTTAGGTATATTGCATTTGGTTTTTTGAAAATCCATTTCTGTAGCTTTTATTTAGTCTAATTATAATAATAAAACTATTTAACTTTTTTTTAGAAACACTTACGGGTTTTTGAAATAAATGTAATAATAATAATATATAAAATAAATATAAATAGTAATAAATATTTAATGAAAAATCAGAATAAATACTAAGTCTAAATATGTTCTTTAAATAGAAAATTGTTAGACTTAATATAACATTCATAGATCAATTTATTATTAATTTTACCATTCAATATTGCACAATATCTATTAGAAATTGTCTTTTTCGCTGTCTCTCTTTCTTTAAAAATACTCCAAAATTAAAAAAGAACATTTTAAAAGTCTGCAAAAGTTAGGATAGCTTGTTTATTGGTACCAAAACTATATTTTAACTATAAATATAGACATAACTGTTTTCTTTAAATCCTTAAGCTGAAAATGATCTTAATAATATCTATGTAAAAATGTGTTAACTCAATATTTTGTAAGGAAACTCAAGGGAACAGCAGGCTCAATATTTTCAATATACCTCCCAGAAAAAGTTGAAGTTTGAAAACTTCGACTGTATATCTGATTCTATTCTCAACTCCTGAGGCACCCAGCGGGGCCTATGCAAAAGATGAATGATATACAGCGCGCCATGTTAGATGATAAATGGCGCGCTATATTAAATGATTTATCTAGCTGGCTCCCCCGAAGCCCTCGCTCGAGTTCATTGTGCCCCCAGTTCTCCTGCCTCGCCGCCCCCTCGAATGCTAATCTGTGGTATCTCACATTCAGATTTGTGGCGTAGATTTGACTCGGAGGTAAATGCTGTATGGTAAATGGCTGGCAGCGTAGCACACGCGCCCATAAAGCCACAGAGATCACCACAATAGAACTCGGACAATTTAAGACTGGAAACGTAGAACTAATTTCCATCAATCAATTTGAAATCTTGAAAAATACAGAGAAATCCACCATGAATTTGTTTGGGAAACGATGTTATAACTAGAATTCTAGTTTTAGGAAAGGAAAAAGAAAAGAAATGACATTTACATTTAAGTTATAACTAAGGAAAACCTTCAATAAAATAGTACTCAGAGATCTAGTACTCAGTATCTTGCGGATATCCCCCATATTTATATTCTGTTTTTATCCACATTTTATTCCGATGCTGAGTCAACTGGCATTTCCTCAATAACACAATTTGAAGCTTGATTTCCATTCGTATTTAGTTAGTTATTTTTTCGCTGGAACTAATCGTGGAATCGTAATCATTATATATCCACTGGTTATAATAACGTTCCAGCGGCAATTTCTAAAAAATGTTTTTTACATTCTACTTTATTGTTTTCGCGCTGTGCCAGTTATTCCTCGCCCAGTTGGTTTGTGCTATTGAATCGTTGCCATTTTTCCAGATTCTGCTTTTTCCGTTTTCTAATTAGTTATAATTACACTTAATGCAATTTAGTTATGAGGCTCTGTTTCTGTGCTGTGCCCACATTCGTGAGCTCCTCAGATGGCTGTTCGTGCCGTTTCCATTTTTCTATTTTTCCATTTTTGCATTTATACATTTTAACATTGATGGGGGATTTTATGATTAGTGCAACTAGTTCGTGTTGTTGCATCTGACTGGTTGGTTCTGGTCTGGTTTGGTCTTTCTGTTACAAGGGCCCTCTAAAATCATCGGGATTGGGCACACAAAAGCCCCATCGGACACTAGGCGTTGATGCAATTTGTATTTGTAAGATTTTACTTGGCCCGATAAGCGAGTCGGGGCAGCAGGAATTTCCCCAACTCATTGCTTTCGGGTTCTATGGCCTCTTGAGGGGGAAAATATCGAGATTATTTGGTCATAAGGCGTTCCTCCGCGTTTTTGCACTAATGGTTCTTGAGATATCATCCTACTTTGCATATTACATTTGAATATATTTTTAATAATAGGGTAAGCTGGGGTAATATGTCGATTAATTTAATAGTCAAGTATAATTTGTGTACTTTCATAAAAGCTTAAATTATTTTAATAGTGTACCTTCCTAAATGTTTATTTTATGGTAGACTAATATTATGTTTCTTAAACTAATAAGTAATAACTAGGGTAATATTTCAATTAAATTAATAGACAGGTATAGTTTGAAAGCTTAAATTATCTTGATAGTATACGATTTTAAGTGTTATTTTATTGCAGATTAATTTTATGGTCCTTAAACTAATAGGCAGAACTTAATTTGTATGCGACTTTATAAACTAACGTTATAAACAATTAGATATACTTTATTTCCAAGTACAAAGATGATCTTATATCAAATCTAAGGATTTCCTGAGAACTTCAAACCCCTTTGAAGATTTATAGCATATGAGCTCTCCTTACTTGGTTTTTGCTTCGAAGTGAACACCTAGAATATGGGAGTATCATCAGAAACAACTAGCAGAAGGCAGAATGGATCCAAAGCTTAGATTCTGTACCTGAGCATAATATATTATTAAGAAGCAGCGAAGCAAGAGCGAGGTGTGAATTCTAGCTAAATTCAGTATCACCTCCGCATCATATGCATATGAGCTGCAATTTCAGCCGTAGATTATATCAGGTGGTCTCATAAATAAATGCATTTAATGCTCCGTTGGTTCGCATGGAAAGAGGGGTTCCTGGGTTGGGTTTGGGTCGGGATTGGGCTTGGATGGGTTGGTGCTGGATTGGTCTTGGTGTTGCTGTTGGCCCTGGGGAACTGCAATTCCCGCAGATGGCAAACCGAACCGAAAAGACTTGACCATGGCATGTCGCTTGTCTCACGAAAGCATCTCGCAATGATGGAGAGTCAGTCGGTGGAGTTGGTAGAGTTGGTAGAGGAAGCCACACCGGCCGGCTCCTCATCATTAGCAATTTGAAATGCACTCGAAGTGTGGAGCCCGAGATCGGAGATGCCGGGGCTGCGAGTGTATCCAATTATTTCAGCATTTTATGGCGTAAATTTCCTTAAACCCAAACCATTTTTCAACTGAAACGAATCGGGGGGGGAGAGCTGAACAAAAAAGAAAAGGAACCCAGGGAAGAATTCTGGCAGAATCCCCAGAAAGGAGAGGAGCAAAGCTCCACGGCAGCCACAAATCTTAAAAAGGCATCAAGATTATTGCACAGAAAAATTCTTTTCTTCACACCTCGACCAGACAACCCAACGTCGTCGTTTTCGCTCCTCAAAGGTCTGGCATGAAAAAAAGAAATAAACGAAACAAAAAATGGACAGAATAAGAAACTCAAAGAATTAAATGCGACTTCAAAGAAAGGTAAAACGGCAACAACAACAACAACAGCGGCAAACGGAGCACGGACAAGAAATATGGTCAAAACGAAGCTACGAGGGCCAACACCACCGACAATGGACATCATGTGCAACAACAATAAAAACCAATTTAAGCCGACGACCAAGCGAGCGGCTTGAAGTGTGTGGCAGGAGTGTGGGGCATACACCAAGGAGTACAGAGGGAGAAAAGTGTATTTTTTATTGTAATTTGGGTCTGATAGATATGAAATTTGGTATGTGAGGTTTTATTCAAACAACAAAGAAAGTGCCTTCAGAACCGAAATGCTTACCTTTTAAACTGATGGAGTTCCAAGAGTTTTAGATCAACATAATATTCGCAGTTTTGGTCTTAACGATAGGAATTTTGGTATGTGAGCTTAAATTAAAATAAGAAAGGTTATGCCGTTGAGTTTAAATATCTACCTTTAAAACTGATGGAAATCTAAGAGCTTTAGATCAATATTATTTTCGTAATATTTCTTTATTTCTAAATATTTGTTAAGAGAACGGTCATCTTTGCATGTTATTGCCAGTATTTATGATGATATGTCACTTTTGCCTAGTTTTCTTCAGTGTACATATAGTGTGGCTTGAGGAGGATTCCTCGTGGGCTTACCTTCTTGTCGGCTTTCGTTTAACTGACGTCCCAAACACCAGAGGAACAACAACAACCCAGGCAACGCATACACACAATCAGTTTCAGAAATCAGATTCGGTTCGAAGTTGAATAGTTTTGCTGCTCGGAATTATGTTTGTACGTATGTCGTGTATCTACGTGCATGCGGGGTATCTTTGTCGCTGCCCCGATCTATGCTGGCCATTATCTGTTTTTGTCTGTGCGTTTGTGTGTGCTACGTGCCCAGCTGTAACTTTGAGTTAGGGATTTCTCCAGGGTTTTCGCCCTGACTTGGATCACTTTTCAGAGAAGAGAAAAATAAAAACATGTACCCAACATGTCAAAGTTAATTTTTCGGGAAAGGGTTTTTCGGTTATATGCAAATGGGAGCTAGTTTTGTGCCCTAGGGATCGACCTATTTAAGAGATCTTGAAGATAAGGTCAAAACAGGACATCCCCATTAAAAGAAACTCACATTTATAATGACATTACTTAAACCTCTATTTCATGCTTGGCTATAGGCGAAATAATAGATCTTCTTACAGTTTTAGGATGGCAGTTTCTTTATATCGACCATGACAGATTATAATTTATAAAAGTCTTTGGTTTTAGTTTCCTTTTGGTTTTGGTTCCATTTATTTTCATTTCGAGAATATCTTTTGTACTATGCTTATTCATCTATTCCCATTCATAGAAAATAAACTGTACAGATGAATAGCTTATTATTTTAAGACCTATTCAGATTTTTTAAAAGAGACAATATATACATATAACAACACCAGAAAAAGTCAAGCTCATGATCTATTATCCCATTATTGCTTATCCCAAGTACTTTTCACCTTTCCCACACACACACACCCTCGTAATTCCCAAAGTGGCAGAAACTCCAAAAGGGCAACACAATCCGCTTGAAAGAATTGAGAGGAAAAACCCGAAACGAATCCCAATCAAAAGAGCCTTCTTTGCCAGAAACAGATGCTCCGTTCTAACACGCACACATAGGGAATACTACCCATATACATATATATATATATTTGACCGATCATATCCAGTAACAATGCAAGTGAAATCCCAGAATCTCTTCCTCTTTCTGCCCGGTTCTGCAGTTGTTGCTGCTTTTGCTCCGTCTTTGGAAAACGAGGCCCAATCCAGTTTTCTGTTGTTGTTTTTCTGCTATGCAGCGCAGCTCCCTGCAGATCTTAAGTTGATTTCGTTTTGGCTTTTGGTTCCTGGAGTTTTTTCAGAATTTCGTGCTGTGCCTTTTGTGTTTTTATTTTTTCTTCACACCTTCGAAAAGGCAGCCAAACTGAAATTTCAACGTTGACTGGAAATCCAATTCAATTCCCAATGGCGGCCCCACTGCAGGAGAGTGTGGGAGCGAGATGGGCACAGTGGAAGGAAGGAGCGAGAGGGAGATACATACATACGATCTGGGGAGGGGGGATTCTTCCCACAGCCGGTTTTTGGTGTTGGTGTCGCGCTTGGTTTTCTCACTTGGCCCGATCCGAAGCTGCTGGCCTTTTGTATTTCGTAGGCCGCGTTCTGGGACCTCGACGACGACTGACAGCTCCAAAGCCCTGCGTTCTTTATTATTTTGTTTTTGTATTTTGAATCTTTTTTTACCAGGTACTCTTAGGGTATATTGAAGAGGTCAAGTAGTACTAAAAGAATTAAATATATTTAATTCCAGAATATATCTAGCCAAAGATCTTAACTAAAATAATACAATACTATTATTAAAGATACGAAAATCACACAAAACAAGGTTAACTATTAATGATCTTATTAAATATTAAATCTCTTAAAGTATCTCAAGGAACTCAATTAAACAATATTGAAGATCGTATCAGAGGATTATCAATTATCAATCATATAAAATAGTACAAAACTTTAAGAATCCAAGCATCTCAAGTAACTCAGGACAACAATTTTGCAGATTATAGAACATTATCAGGAAAAAGTACACCTAAAGATTAAATATTATTGATCTCATTCGGTAGTATAATCTATCTAGAATCCAAAAACTTCAAGCCTCAAAAAATAAATATAGTTTTGAAGATCATATCAAATACATCCAATGTTTAATGATGCTCAATACATTATTGCATTATATATCATTCCGCTTTGCTCGAAAAATGGGAAGTACATTTAGTTAAAGTAGTCTAGAAACTACAAATAACAAAAGTCGTATCTGTACCTTTATAAACTGATTACAGGGCATTATAAAGTCGATTTCATGCTTGATTCGTTATGTGAAAGACTTCTTTTGCAGGATCGGTTTTATTTTCTCTCGTTTCGTTAAGATCTCTTGACAGTCGGCTCAATGTGCGCATTTTTCCTTCTTTCTCGCCCAGGGTTTTTATTTTTTCCATTTTGCTGCTCGAACGGAATACAATTTGACATGCTTGGGATTTTCATGAGAGCACAAAAAATCGGAAATTATTGCCGCCGCAGATTAATTTTGAATGCGCTGCTTGAGCTCCTCCTGCGGCTTTTCGCTTTTATCTGATACTCAGATACTCAGATACTCGAATATACGAGCAGCTTAAGTCTCGGGGATTACAAGTTGCCGTTTTTGTTCAAGGTGAGAGATCGGGGCTTTGGCTTTGAGTTGCCCGTGTGCCTCCATCGTGACACTATCTGGAAATACGTGTACTTTGTTAGTCCGGCGAGGCCTTACGAGTTTGACAAACACAATAATAGCGTACAAAACTGTAGTATCAGAGTATCAGAGAAGGGGTGAGTTTGTTTATCATCGGCCTGATAAGCGCACATTTCGGAAGCCCCACTGTTTGTGTGACTGCGACGGTTAAAATTGTGCAAGTCCGTCACTCGTTCCCAGGTGATATCACCTCCGAACGAACACATCGTAAAGGCTTTTCTGGGAACTCAGTTGATGCAGGATAAGATTAGTGCCACAGCAAAAAAAAAATCGTTTAAAAAATTCCGTTTTCAATAAGTACATTTCTGTGTGGACATAATGAAATATAAAGATTTATATATTCATATTTGAAAATATTAAATGTACATTACATTGACAAAGATATAGATACACATACAAATCTGAAAGATAAATGTTTTTCACAGCAATTTTGTATTATAATATATTAAGTAGGTGGGTGTATATGGACTTGCATTTATTTATGTTTACGATTAAGACGCTTGAGATCCTTGGGTAAAGGTTCTTTTGTTCCCAAAACTCTACGACTCTTTTGGAGCTGCGATCTTTTCTGCTGCCTCTGGAAAGCCATGCCTGCATTCATATCTTCCGAAAGGTCTGCCAGTTTATAAAGTCTTCCGTTTATATCGGCACACTCAAAGTACGTAGTTGGAAATGACTTGGAAATAATTTTGGTCTGGTGTTCAAGGATCTCAGGTTGCTTCTTTCTAGGTTTTGGCACCTTTCTGGGCTTTGGTTTTTCTTCATCCCCCTTTAAATTGTTTTCCAATAACTCTTTTCTGCGTTTGGCCTCTTGGATTCGAGCACTCCTTCTTAGTACTATTTGGGGCTTTTGAACAGCTTTGGGAACTCCTATTTTTTTCCAATTAACTACCGGTGCAACTCTCAATGGAGGAACAACATCTTGTGGATCTGCAGACTGACACTTTTTCGAATTCTTAGATTTTCCTAATCGGTTTGGTCCAGCTGTTCCCAATTTTTGGCGATCATTTTTGCGCTGCTGTTTCTGCTGCTTGTTTCGAATAGCAATACCCACTTCCATGTCGCCGGAAATGCTGTCGAGTTTTGAATCCTGTTTTTTTGAACGACTGCTTTGAGGACTACGATTCTCTATATTCTCAAGATCTGGTTTCTTAGACATCATCATGAGTCTCTCCTTTTGATTTTTAATGCGCTCAGATCGACGAAGTTCCGGTTTTTCGTTCATATCCGTAGGATCCGTATTGGATTTTCCTGATCTATAAGAACTGGGAGGTTTGTATTCCATGTCCTTCGATTTATTCTTTAGTCCATAACGCTTTCTATTTAAATTGGGGTATCTTTCTGCCTTTTCTGTAGTATTTTCAGTAGCTTCTACTGGATCTACATCCACAGAGTTGTTCGTATCTTTCTTGGGGCGTCCTGGTCTACGAGGTCTAGCAGTTCCCAATTTTTTTTTAGGCGACTTTTGCTGCGGCCTTTGTAAAGAAGTGTCCATTTCTATGGGTTCGGTTAGATCTTTCATTTCTGTAGTATTCTTATCAGCTTCTTCTGGATCAACAACGATTGGGTTTTTCGTCTTATTCTTGGGTCGTCCTGGTCGACGAGTTCTGGCAATTCCCAAGTTCTTTTTGGGCGACTTTTGCTGCAGCTTCTGTAAGGCAATGCCCGTTTTAATGGCATCCGTTAGATCTTTAAGTCTATAAAGCCTTCCATTTATGATTGCGCATTCAAAGTACTTTGAGGCCAACTTTACATATTTCCACTTGCCATTGCTCGAAGGTACACGTCTTGTGGATCTCTTGGATTTATATTTACGTGGCTCTTGGTCCTTCTCCACATCATTCATCATGGATTGTATCCTCTTTTTTTCCATTTGGTCCTTGATCCGTTGGCTTCTACGAAACACCCGAGGTTCTTCACTTACTTTCGTGGTTTCTCCATTGTAGAACATTACGGCGGGCTCCAAAAACAAAGGATCTTCAAAAGTGAATCTATCCGTTTCCATATTTGTATCAGAATGTTCTGTAAATAACTCATTGCTTTGTGTTCTGATGTTTGTTTCGTTCATATCTTTTGTAGTATATTGTCACTTGTCTGTAATATAATTCTAAATAAGTTCTCAGCCCTGTTTTAGTTGAGAAACTGATTTCAAAGGTTCCTAAGTTTTAGGATGCAAAGTACTTTTGACTAGTATATTTTTAAAAGATGTACTATAGTGCATTAAAGATATAATGGTTTAGTAATAAAGTATCTTAAAATATTATAACACGCCTTGAGATGTTTAGATTTTCGAGGAGTACTCATATTCACCTGACTGCTAGCCACCACACCCCAAATAAAATAGATATGGCTAGGATATGATATTTGGCATATGATATCACACGCTTCGTTCTTATCAAAGGAAAGCAACAACAAAGGCATTTGTTGCGCTTTATTTATTCTTTATTTATGTGCCTTAGACCAATCAAGCAAAACGGTTTATCATTGAAGCGATAAAAAAGACGTTAATTTATTATGCACACATACTGGGAAAGGCAATGGCATGTACATATAAAGAAACCGGCCGGAGCAGAAGAATATAATAATAATAATAACAATAAGTGTTTACTAATTGCGCAAAATTGAACTTGAAAATGTTAAATGAGAAAATACTCAAGTCAACAAACTTATTGAGTGAGTTCTTTGTGTATTTGTAAGTCTTATTTGCCCGCTGAACCATTATTAAACTGTGAAAGATTGCTGAGGAACTTTCGTAAACCTTTGAAATTTAGATATCATTTTAAAACAGAGGTGTTTTTAAGGTTTATAACATTTCTTTAACAAATAAAGCTTTGAATACTAAGTAAAAATTCTTTTTTTTAAGTAAAATGTCAATGGGTAGGTATTTTTAAGTACCCTTGGTATTAAGCTATTGCTTCTTTGATTAATAAAAAAAGGTATATCATTTTTAAACCATTTTTATTGAGTTCTTTAAAGATTAAAGTTTTATAGCCATAGTTTTGTACTCGTAATAAATTGTTTTTTATTTCATATTATTTAACTCGAGTGGTTTTCCGCCAGAGGAGCAGTTCAAGTGAGTACTAAATTTCGGTCGAGTTAACAGGAAACTCGGTTCATTTTGGTTGGATTAACAGCACAAGTTGGCCTGTAAAATGAACAAAGCGCGCAATTATAAACTCTATTTTTTAGTTATTTAATTAGCGGACCCAGGCTGAGAGGCAGGGGCTGAATAATAAACACATATACGTATATGCGGGTATAGAACGACGTCTCTGGTATCTAGAGTGGAAAATTAATGGCTACAAAATTAAATTTATTTTTGCAAAAAAAAAATAAGAGAAAAAAGAGCTGAAGAGAGGCAACAACAGCAACAACAACAAGAACAGCGGACCTGGGCTGCCAGACAGCCTGGCAATTTTGTTTCTTATTGGATTTTTATTCGAGCTTGCGCGCGCGTGTGTGTGTGTATGTGAGTGTGCGAAATTTATGTTGCTATTTGCGTCGCGGTGACTGCGCTGCCCACTGTGCGCTGCCCCTTATCATGGGTTCTTGTTGTTGTCCTCCCTGCTGCTGTTGTTCTTGTTTCTAGTTGGCTGCTGGCACGTTACCTAATTAGTTGCCGCAGACAGCGCGACGTTTTTACCTTTTAACGCTATACGCGACAAACACACTTACATTATATGTAGTTGTATGCGGCGGTCGCTTTGACGTAACACATTACGACAATGGGCAGCGACGTCGCGGTCGCAGTCGACGTCGACTGCACGCGATTTCCGTTCTCTGCCCACGCACATTGCACACATCACCACAGCGGCAGAGCGGTGGCAGCGCAGCAGCAGCGCAGCGACTGAGAAAACTTAGCAGAAAGATAGAGATACAAATACAAACACATGGACCACAAATAAACACGCGACAAAGCGCAGCTTTAACGTTTTGTCTTCCTCTTGCTTCTGCATTTTGGCTTTGTCTTGCTAACGGTCACAGTGGAGCAAAGGGGATAAAATATAAAATATAAACTTATATATTCATGGTATGTTATTTTTACCTTTTTAAAATTAATTAAAGTTAAGGTAGTAAACAAATTAGGAAAAAAAAAGATTTAAAAGAATGGCTTAAAATTAAGATACTTTTAGGAAGTTTACTCAAATACTATTATATTTGTTATACCTACAGTGGAGAACTAAGGATTAATATAACATTACTTTAATTGTCATGACATTTGATTTACAAAAGTCGAAATTTTGTGGAAAATAGAAAGTGCTCATATGAGGTGCGACAGTTCAAATCATTTATCACTTTAAACTAACCTGTTCTTATTCTTAATATTGGTTTAAAAATTAAAAAATGGAAGATACTCTTACAAAAATGCTTTAATCATGAAACTAATCACCATATCAAGGGGTAATCCTACTTTTTTTTTTTTTTTTGATATAAGCCTAAGTAGGCACATTCTTAATTAAATCGCCTCACAAGAATGTTGAAAAAAGAAATCCTATTCCATCGTTTTTAGACTTTAGTAATGGTTATAGTTAACTTGGTGTACAAATAAAGGAGTGTCTTATTTTAACCATTAAAATGTTAATCTAAATCTTTTTTTTTATATCTAACGTTTGAAATATTTCCCTAAAATCACATGCATTCTACCCACAGTGCCTTGGGTTTTGGCAGCATCGCATCGTTTCTGTTGCAGCTGCTCGGCGACCCCGCCTCACCCCACCCCACCCACTGCTTGCCACACGGCCACCTCCACCCCCACACCCATTTTTCACCTCAATTTTCCGACCGCCCACTGCTTGAGCTTTGGTTGTTTTTTGCCTTTTGACTCTGTTTTTTCTTGAATTGCTTTTTCTTTTCGGTTTTTTTTTTAAATATACACGCCAACGACAGCGAGAAGAAAAAACACTTGAACCAATGCAACAGTCAGCTTATTCACAATAATATTGTGTATGGTATTTTTTTATTCGTTTGGCAAAGGTAATAAACAAGAGAAATAGAAAAAACCGAATACAAGACAGACAAAGTCATTTGGGCGAACCAAAACGCTTTCGTAAAGAAAAAATAAAAAACCCAAGACAAAAAGCTGTGGGCGACAACAACAAGTCGAGTGAAAAAGGCAATACGAAATTACCAATTTAAATGTTAAAATGGGAATCGACGGCTGAGCCAAAAGCCACTAAAAACTAAGTCAAACACAAAATGCAGCCAAGGCATTTAGTGAAGTAAAATGCTAATAAAGAAGTAGGTATACCCAAAGGCACAGATACGATAATTATATAAACAACGAAAACTGATTGTCGATGTCGTTCTTTATGATCATCGGAAGATACACTTATATATACACATATGTATGTAGCATATACATATGTGTGGATGGAACTGGGTACCATTGTGTATACACATATCAATGGGTGTATTATCATATCATCATCGGCAATGGACAGGCGACAACGTCGACATTTTGTCGTTTTTATAAGAAGACAATACCCCGGGGCCGAGTGTTATCTAATAAATTGTGAGGGAGTTGACAACGGACGACTGACAGACAAAAAAAAAACCAATCGACGGAACACTGAAAAATTAAACAAAAACCAGCAACGAAATCTGCATTTGATCGTAATATTTGTTGTTGTCTGTTAGCTGTCCGAAAATGAGTTCAGAGTGAAAGCCCCCGAGCCTCATAAAGAGATGAGGGTTTTTCCCTCAAATCCCCATCCACCTTAACCTTTTTCGGTGTAAACAGAACCCGGGCTTATCAATATGCGAATTAGCCAACGATTATGCATGCAAATCGATTCAAAATGGTGGCACATCGGTGGGCAGAGGAAATTAGCGCTCTCCGCTGATTGGTGTGTGAAAATTGATCCACCAGATCGGAAGATGATAGCCCCCAGATAGTGATTTAATGGCCCGCATCATGCTTAGGATGTTCCTCGGGCTTCTTCAAAGTGCTGAGCGATAGGTGCGAAATCGGACATGTTGTTCGAATGATGATCGATAGGCTTAATTCCGCAAAACTTGGCAGCTCTATGGTGGGTCCAATTTATCAAAAAATATCCAAGACCGAACTTAAAATATTTAAAAGTAAACCCAATGGGATATCCCTTAATATTTTATAAATTTAAATTACCATGACCATCTGATGAATCAACATTTTTGCTTTTTAGCACCCCATAGTTAAGTCCTTTATCTCTTTAATGAATATTTACCCTTCGGAACTTATCCTAACTTAAATGTACACACATAAAATGACCAATTTCCTGAATCCAAAGGCAAACCCTTTGATCAGCTTAAGCTTTTCCCCACCTCAAACGAACCCCTTTCTCTGGAGCAAGCACTTGCCCAGCCAAATATTTACCCCGAACGATCTGTACAAATATCAACAGATATAAACATTTCCCCTCTGTAGATACCGCGATCAAAGACAGTGCAAACCTATTGATTAGATAATATGCAGAGGGCTGTAAAGAAATAAAAACTCGAAATGTAGAACGGGAAACGTGCGACAATCTCGAGATACAGATAGGCAGTTAGGAGCAGCACTTCTCTACGAAATTGGGGCCAAGTCTTCGCCTCCGTCTTCGCCATCGACTGAAACTAATCAAAGCCTCTTCAGTTCGGACACTTGAGGTTTTCCCTGGCCAACAGCGAATATGGTGTAGTTTACTATATATAGACAAAGCGAGTGCAGCAGACATGGAGCTGTGAGAAATGTGGAGAAAACTCTTTGAAGAAAATCTTGAGACCAAAGTAAGCGGCTGCTCCTGCTCTTTTTATTTGATTTCATTACGGTTCGGTTTTGTTTTTCTGTTGCCTCCGTTTGCGTGTTACTAAATTTGGTTGTCTGGGCATTTCAACGCGTGTGTGTATCTGTGTTTGTGCCAGACCATTTTTAGTAGCCCTGTCTATATATGTAGCATACTATATGGTATGGTATTGTATGCCAAGTCTGCGGAGCTGCGGTAATTGCCGACCATTTTCTTTAATTCGCTGCCAGCTGCCCTTTTTTGTGGGTGTCTCTATGGGCTCTTTGGTGGGAAAAGTGCTCCAGTCAGCATCATCTGTGGTCTGGTGGGTCTGGTTCTGGTCGTTCGTATACGGAACGGGACACCAAAAAGGTGATAGCGGCCACAAACTGCGCAGCATCC